TTGAATTGATACTTTTCTGAGAAACTATCATGGGAAAAAAACCCAAATATTAAGAGGAATTTAAGAGTGATTTTTAAAATATTTGTGATATGTATGTATATTTTGCATAAAATCCCATCCTAGTATTTTAATTTAAGTCCCAAAAACATGGTCATGACACAGTTTCTGATATGAAATAGGTCTTTTTTTCTATTGTAAAAGAATTCTGTTTTATTTTTAAACTATAACAATGAATTAAAAATATTTACATATTAAATGACACATTATGCAATATTTCATCGAATTTTGTCATAATTTTGAGTTGTGGACGATGCGTGAAAGTGTTATTTAAAAAAAAGAGTAGAGAAGTTCCAAATGCCCTCCTTTCAATCCGGATTTGTTTTCGTTTTTATTCATCTAATACTGTGTCAACATTGATTTCCGCTGTTTATCTCGCCAGGACCCCACACATAATTTAATTATGTTTAACAAGTGTGCAAGATCTGCTCCCATGCAAGAGTCACAGGATGCAGTGGATTTGGATTTGAATTTGGGCATGTATAATTTTCCTGAATATATGGATAAAGAAGATATGGGCATCTTAAATACAACTCTGGATGGGATTGTTAACATGCTGTCTGGTCTGGATAACAAACTGAATGATGTGAACACCAAGATGAATGATCTTGATAACAAGGTGAATAAACTGAACACCAAAGTGAGTGATCTTGATAACAAGCTGGATAAACTGAAATGTTACCACAGCAGTGGATTTTGTTACATTAGTGCCCAATTATCCCCAATCACAAAGTCATTAACAGGAAAGACAAAAAAATGAGAGGGAGGGAAGCACTTACCAGAAAAAAGAAGGACCAGGGGGATCAGGAGAGAGTAAGAAAATTAAACAGATGGATCCATGCTACGTATTAGTAAAAGACTTAGAAAAAACTGAAGAAAAAAACCCTCAGGAAACCAAGAGGAATCTACCCCTGATGATGGAAAAGGCCCAGAAGAAGAAAAAAAGTGGAGAAAAAAAGCCTCAGGAAACCAAGAGGAAACTACCCCTGATGAGTGATAAGGGACAGAAGAAAAAGAAAATGTAATTAGATGTATTTTTTCATTCTGAATAAAATCTGTGTTCTTGTTCTTGTATTGTGTGTGTTCTTGTCTTTTTTCAGTACAAAAAAAAAATCCAGGTTTGTTATTGTCTTTCAGTAAAACCAGTTTGAACCGGTTAGGCTAGGCTGTCTAGACTGTGAATGAATGCGTGACGTCATAATGACATTCTTGAGTCGCTGCCAAAATATTGTAGTAGCAGCGTATAGTATAATGTAAACACAGTGTAAACACCCCGTATTTAGGGAGCTATGTACTGATCCACCTATTCCCCCAAGGACTGTACTGAGTTGAACCCCCTATTCCCCAGGGGATGCACTCCCTTGACCCCCTTATCCCCTCAACCAATCAGAATCCTCCATTTTTTGACCTCATTTGCATAATGTCCTAGATATTGACCCATCTATCTAGACGCCTTATACTACTGAGGTTAAAAGACGGTTTCAATTTGAGGTATAAATTCAAAGAAAGTTTTATTTTAAGTAAGGTACGGTATATAAATCATTCATTTGTCCTTTATTTGACTATTTACTACGTTTCTACTCCATAACTAAGACAGGCGTATGACCTTTCGTATTAAAGAATTTTGTTTTATTTTTAAACTATAACAATGAATTAAAAATATTTACATATTAAATGACACATTATGCAATATTTCATCGAATTTTGTCATAATTTTGAGTTGTGGACGATGCGTGAAAGTGTTATTTTAAAAAAAGAGTAGAGAAGTTCCAAATGCCCTCCTTTCAATCCGGATTTGTTTTCGTTTTTAGCTCACCTGAGCCAAAGGCTCAAGTGAGCTTTTCTGATCAAAATTTGTCCGTTGTCTGTCGTCGTTGTCGTTGTCGTCGTTGGCGTCGTCGGCGTCGTCGGCGTCGTCGTTGTCGTAAACTTTTCACATTTTCATCTTCTTCTCAAGAACCACTGGGCCAATTTCAACCAAACTTGCTACAAAGTATCCTTGGGTAAAGGGGATTCAAGTTTGTTCAAATGAAGGGCCATGTCCTTTTTCAAGGGGAGATAATTATGAATTAGAGAAAATTTAATGGCATTTTTAAAAAATCTTCTTCTCAAGAACCACTGGTCCCGGAAAGATGAAACTCATGTGGAATCATCCTCAGGTAGTGTAGATTCAAGTTTGTTCAAATCATGACCCCTGGGGGTAGGGTGGGGCCAAAATGGCCGATCAAAGTTTTACATAGGAATATATAGGAAAAATCTTTAAAAATCTTCTTCTCAAGAACCACTGGGGCAGGAAAGATGAAACTCATACAGAATCATCCTCAGGTAGTGTAGATTTAAGTTTGTTCAAATCATGACCTCCCGGGGGTAGGGTGGGGCCAAAATGGCCAATCAAAGTTTTACATAGGAATATATAGGAAAAATCTTTATAAATCTTCTTCTCAAGAACCACTGGTCCCGGAAAGATGAAACTCATGTGGAATCATCCTCAGGTAGTGTAGATTCAAGTTTCTTCAAATCATGACCCCTGTGGGTAGGGTGGGGCCAAAATGGCCGATCAAAGTTTTACATAGCAATATATAGGAAAAATCTTTATAAATCTTCTTCTCAAGAACCACTGGGCCAGGAAAGATGAAACTCATATGGAATCATCCTCAGGTAGTGTAGATTCAAGTTTGTTCAAATCATGACCCCTGGGGGTATGGGGCCAAAATGGCCGATCAAAGTTTTACATAGGAATATATAGGAAAAATCTTTAAAAATCTTCTTCTCAAGAACCACTGGGCCAGGAAAGATGAAACTCATATGGAATCATTCTCAGGTAGTGTAGATTCAAGTTTGTTCATATCATGACCCCTGGGGTTAGGGCGGGGCCAAAATGGCCGATCAAAGTTTTACAGAGCAATATATAGGAAAAATCTTCTTCTCAAGAACCACTGGGCCAGGAAAGATGAAACTCATGTGGAATCATCCTCAGGTTAGTGTAGACACAATTTTGTTCAAATCATGACCCCCCGGGGTAGGGTGGGGCCAAAATGATCAATGTTTTACATAGGAATATATAGGAAAAATCTTCTCAAGAACCATTGAGACAGAAAAGATGAAACTTCTGTGGAATCATCCCTAGGTAGTGTAGATTCAAGTTTGTTGAAATCATGACCCCCGGCGGTAGGGTGAGGCCAAATGATAAAAGTTTTAAATAGGAATATCTAGGGAAAACTTTTAAAATCTTCTTTTCAAGTACTTTAAAGCCATGCTTAGTAATATTTATAGGGAATCATCCTCAGGTAGTGTAGATTGAGGTAGTGTAGATTGAAGTTTGTTCTAATCATGGCCCCCCCGGGGGGTTAAAATTCAAGCCCCCTCCCCCCCCCCTTGATAAACTTACATGTAATATATCTAATTTGTGTTGTGTCACTTGTGTGTAAGAGTTTGTGTGCTAGAGTTATGGTTCGTAGTGTGGGTCAGGTGTCAGTGTGTATCCGGCATGAGTAGTGCGTGCATGGACCGTCAGAGTGGAAGCATGTGGTTATGTACCTGTATACATGAATAAACTGGTAAAACCTTGATTCAATTCGAGTATTCTTCACTGGCGACGAGGATAACGAAAACTACAAGATGGCTACACTAATAGAACTCAACGGAGTTGGGAAATTTGATCCAAATGCTGAACCGTCACAATTAAATCAAGCATGGAAAAGGTGGCACCGAAGTTTTGAGCTTTTCGCTGTTGGAAAAGGGGTGAGTGACGCTGAACAAAAAAAAGCATTACTTTTGCACTGTGCTGGACCCGAAGTTCAAGACATTTTTTATACATTGAATGTTGAACAAGCAGGTGACAATGACAATGTGTATACGTTAGCTGTGAAAACGTTAGATAAACATTTTGAGAATAAAGTTAACGTTCCGTATGAACGATATGTTTTTAGGAAAATTCTGCAAACCGAGAGTGAAACAGTAGAACAGTTTATTACAAAATTACGACAACAGGCTGTGTATTGTGACTTCACAAATCAGGATGAGCAAATTCGGGATCAAGTGATTGAAAAGTGCAGGTCTCACAAGATTAGAGCCAAGTTGTTAGAGAAAGGAAAAGACTTGACTTTAGAGCAATTGAGGACTATAGCAGCTACATTTGAGATGACTGAAACACAGGCTAGGCATATGGACACTGAAATTGTGGCGTCAGTAAACAGAATTCAGGGATATCGTGAAAAACCTGACAAACAGAAACACAGATTTCAGGACAAGAAGTGTTTTCGTTGTGGACGAGAGGGGCATTTTGCAAAGGACGTATCGTGTCCTGCTCGGAATAAGGAATGTCGGAAGTGCGGAAAAGTTGGACATTTGATTAAATGCTGTCTAACAAAGAAACCAGGAAAAGGCAAACCAAGTAAAGGTGGGAAGATACACACAGTGGACTATTCTGAAGTGGATTCCGACTCAGAAGTATACGTGTTTAGTTTGAAAACAGGACATACATCATCAGACAAAGTAAAAGTCAGTCTAGGAGGAAATCCTGTAGAATTTGTCATTGATAGTGGTGCATCAGCTAACATTATTGATAAAGAACTCTGGGAATATCTTAAGAAGAACCGTATCAAGTGTCACTCAGAGAAGTGTGAAAAAAAACTTTTTGCCTACGGATCTACAGAACCGTTGAAATTATTGGGTAAATTCAGAGCGCAAACATCAATTCATGAAAATGGAAATAGTAGAGAAGAGGAGTTCTTTGTACTAAATGGTATAGGACCAGCGTTACTGGGCAAAGACACAGCTATGAACTTGGGAGTTTTGAAACTCGGAGTAAACACAATTCAACCAACTGACTTTATTCATGAATATTCTGAGAATATTCTGAGTGTTTTCGAGGTATTGGAAAACTCAAAGACTTTAAGTTGAAGTTACATATTGACAAAAATGTGAAGCCAGTAGCTCAAAGCATGTACAGAATTCCATACAGTTTGCGAGATAAAGTAGGAGAACAGTTGGACGAACTTGAGTCTCAGGATATCATTGAACGAGTTAATGATCCTACACCGTGGGTCAGTCCAGTCATAATTGTACTGAAACCCAATGGTGACATTAGATTGTGCGTCGACATGAGGCAAGCCAATGCTGCCATTATTCGTGAACGGCATCCTATTCCGACAGTGGATGACATACTCTACATGGTGAATGGTAGCCAAGTGTTTAGTAAGTTAGACCTTAGAAGTGGATACCATCAAATTGAGCTGGAAGAGTCGTCAAGGGAGATCACTACATTCGTTACGTACAAAGGTCTCTACAGATATAAGAGACTGATGTTTGGTATTTCATCAGCTCCAGAGAAATATCAGCAAGTGATTTCGCAAGTGTTTCATGACTGTGAAGGAGTGCAGAATATATCAGACGATATCGTAATCTATGGTCGTGACAAAGCAGAACATGATGAGCGACTTCGCAAAGCCTTACAGAGACTCAAAGATAAAGGTCTGACACTAAATCTAAACAAGTGTGAATTTAGGATGAACAAGATAACGTTCATGGGACATGTCTTGTCAAAGAATGGTATAGGACCGACTAGTGAAAGGATCAAGTCGTTACTCAATGCTAAAGAGCCAACAAATGGATCTGAAGTGAAAAGTTTCCTCGGACTTGTAAACTTTAGTGCTCGTTACATACCAAATCTTGCTACTGTGGCAGAACCACTCAGGAGATTGACAAAGAAAAATGTGAAGTTTGTCTGGACAGCTGAACAGAAGAAAAGCTTTGACACTTTCAAAATTTGTTTGTCAAATGTGAAAACTTTGGGACATTACAGATTAGATGCAGAAAAAACTCAGTTAGTGACAGATGCTAGCAATGTAGGCCTAGGAGCTGTCTTACTTCAAGTCAACAAAGGTGAAACACGGGTCATCAGTTATGCCAGTCGTACGTTGTCAGCGGCCGAACGCAATTATTCAACAATCGAGAAAGAAGCTTTGGCAGTCGTATGGGCATGTGAGAAGTTCCATATCTATCTCTACGGGGTGGATTTTGAACTAGTCACAGATCACAAACCATTAGAAGTGATTTATGGAAGAAAATCCAGACCTAATGCAAGGATTGAACGATGGCTATTAAAACTTATGGCTTACAACTTCAAAGTACGTTATTCACCTGGACATCAGAATATCGCAGATGCGTTATCTCGTTTGGTGGATAAGACACCTGTAGAAAACAGTAATTCAAAAGACACTGAGCAATATGTGAAATTTATTGCAAGGGAGGCAACCCCTCAGGCACTGTCGACTCAAGAAGTAGAAGAAGCTTCAAGGAGAGATGAAGAACTTGTCAGAATCCGAAAATTCATCAAAGAGGGAAAGTGGGAGAAATCATGTGTTGATTATTTCCCATTCCGAGATGAACTTTGTTGTATTGGATTCGTGGTGTTACGTGGATCCAGAATAGTGATTCCAAGAAATCTGAGGAAGCAGTGTGTACAGTTAGCTCACCAGGGTCATCTAGGAATCGTTGGGACGAAACAGCAGTTACGTACTAAAGTGTGGTGGCCTGGGATGGACAAGGAAGTGGAGAAGTATGTGAAATCGTGTCACGGATGTCAGATTACCAGTGCGTTTCCGAAACCGGAACCAGTTAGTCCTACTCCATTACCAACAGGGCCATGGCAAGAATTAGGTATTGATATTCTTGGACCATTAACATCTGGACAATACGTGTTAGTGGTTGTTGATTATTACAGCAGATACTACGAGATTGAAGTTACCAAGGATATTACAAGTGAGAAAATCATTGATTTGCTGGAGGGAATGTTTTGTCGACATGGACTTCCATTACAAATAACTTCTGATAATGGACCCCAGTTCAGATCTAAGTTATTCAAGGATTACCTGACAGATAACTGTATCAAGCATCGAGCAGTTACACCGTTACATCCGTCAGCAAATGGGGAGGTAGAACGACAAAACAGATCGTTGATGAAAAGAATTCGGATTGCACAAGCCGAGTCTAAGAATTGGAAGACCGAAATCCGCAAATATCTATTTGCATACGGAACGACTCCTCATACTACGTCAGGAGTACCACCTGCCGAGTTGATGTTCCGTCGGAAGCTGAGAACAAAGCTACCGCAAGTGGAAAATCTACAAGAAAACGACTATGATGAGGGAGTGCGCGATAAGGATGCGTATTCTAAATACAGGAACAAGATTTATATCGATGAAAAACGTGATGCACAGGAGTGTGATTTGGAGCTAGGAGATTCAGTCCTCTTGAAGAAGGCGACCAAGGACAAAATGGATACACCATATCACGTGGAACCGTATACACTCGTACAGAAAACCGGAAACAGCTGTGTTGTTAAATCACCAGAGGGAGTGTTAGTGAAGCGAAATAGTGAATTCGTGAAAAAATATCAGGAACCGGAAAGTGTGTCCGATATTCCGGAGAATCCGAGTGATCTTAGTGAACCGAGTGTTGAGTCTAGTGCTAATAGTGATGATGTTCCATCCGCGGCTCCAGTAACTCCGAGCGTTAGAAGGTCTACCCGTATAAGGAAACTACCGCAACGTCTTAAGGACTTCGAACTGTGAAATATTTCTGTGTGAATGTTAATGACTGAAAGTTTTCTATATAGATCTGAGACTGTAAATTGTAAATGTTTTCTAATAATATTTTGGATAATAATTTCTTTCAGTAATTTATTTATTTTGAGAAGTGTAAAAGTTTATTCTTAGAAAAGGGGGTATTGTAGTGTATCTAATTTGTGTTGTGTCACTTGTGTGTAAGAGTTTGTGTGCTAGAGTTATGGTTCGTAGTGTGGGTCAGGTGTCAGTGTGTATCCGGCATGAGTAGTGCGTGCATGGACCGTCAGAGTGGAAGCATGTGGTTATGTACCTGTATACATGAATAAACTGGTAAAACCTTGATTCAATTCGAGTATTCTTCATTACAGTTCTGATCTGATGTGTGCTTTTTCTTAGCCATTGCTCAGGTGAGCGATGTGGCCCCTGGGCCTCTTGTTATTCATCTAATACTGTGTCAACATTGATTTCCGCTGTTTGTCTCGCCAGGACCCCACACATAATTTTATTTATGTTTAACAAGTGTGCAAGATCTGCTCCCATGCAAGAGTCACAGGATGCAGTGGATTTGGATTTGAATTTGGGCATGTATAATTTTCCTGAATATATGGATAAAGAAGATATGGGCATCTTAAATACAACTCTGGATGGGATTGTTAACATGCTGTCTGGTCTGGATAACAAACTGAATGATGTGAACACCAAGATGAATGGTCTTGATAACAAGGTGAATAAACTGAAGATCTTGATAACAAGCTGGATAAACTGAAATGTTACAACAGCAGTGGATTTTGTTACATTAGTGCCCAATTATCCCCAATCACAAAGTCATTAACAGGAAAGACAAAAAATGAGAGGGAGGGAAGCACTTACCAGAAAAAAGAAGGACCAGGGGGATCAGGAGAGAGTAAGAAAATTAAACAGATGGATCCATGCTACGTATTAGTAAAAGACTTAGAAAAAACTGAAGAAAAAACCCTCAGGAAACCAAGAGGAATCTACCCCTGATGATGGAAAAGGCCCAGAAGAAGAAAAAAAGTGGAGAAAAAAAGCCTCAGGAAACCAAGAGGAAACTACCCCTGATGAGTGATAAGGGACAGAAGAAAAAGAAAATGTAATTAGATGTATTTTTTCATTCTGAATAAAATCTGTGTTCTTGTTCTTGTATTGTGTGTGTTCTTGTCTTTTTTCAGTACAAAAAAAAAATCCAGGTTTGTTATTGTCTTTCAGTAAAACCAGTTTGAACCGGTTAGGCTAGGCTGTCTAGACTGTGAATGAATGCGTGACGTCATAATGACATTCTTGAGTCGCTGCCAAAATATTGTAGTAGCAGCGCATAGTATGATGTAAACACAGTGTAAACACCCCGTATTTAGGGAGCTATGTACTGATCCACCTATTCCCCCAAGGACTGTACTGAGTTGAACCCCCTATTCCCCAGGGGATGCACTCCCTTGACCCCCTTATCCCCTCAACCAATCAGAATCCTCCATTTTTTGACCTCATTTGCATAATGTCCTAGATATTGACCCATCTATCTAGACGCCTTATACTACTGAGGTTAAAAGACGGTTTCAATTTGAGGTATAAATTCAAAGAAAGTTTTATTTTAAGTAAGGTACGGTATATAAATCATTCATTTGTCCTTTATTTGATTATTTACTACGTTTCTACTCCATAATAAGACAATGACCTTTCGTATTAAAGAATTTTGTTTTATTTTTAAACTATAACAATGAATTAAAAATATTAACATATTAAATGACACATTATGCAATATTTCATCGAATTTTGTCATAATTTTGAGTTGTGGACGATGCGTGAAAGTGTTATTTTAAAAAAAGAGTAGAGAAGTTCCAAATGCCCTCCTTTCAATCCGGATTTGTTTTCGTTTTTAGCTCACCTGCGCCAAAGGCTCAAGTGAGCTTTTCTGATCAAAATTTGTCCGTTGTCTGTCGTCGTTGTCGTTGTCGTCGTTGGCGTCGTTGTCGTCGTCGTTGTCGTAAACTTTTCACATTTTCATCTTCTTCTCAAGAACCACTGGGCCAATTTCAACCAAACTTGCTACAAAGTATCCTTGGGTAAAGGGGATTCAAGTTTGTTCAAATGAAGGGCCATGCCCTTTTTCAAGAACCACTGGGGGAGATAATTATGAATTAGAGAAAATTTAATGGCATTTTTAAAAAATCTTCTTCTCAAGAACCACTGGTCCCGGAAAGATGAAACTCATGTGGAATCATCCTCAGGTAGTGTAGATTCAAGTTTGTTCAAATCATGACCCCTGGGGGTAGGGTGGGGCCAAAAGGGCCGATCAAAGTTTTACAGAGCAATATATAGGAAAAATCTTTATAAATCTTCTTCTCAAGAACCACTGGGCCAGGAAAGTTGAAACTCATGTGGAATCATCCTCAGGTAGTGTAGATTCAAGTTTGTTCAAATCATGACCCCTGGGGGTAGGGTGGGGCCAAAATGGCCGATCAAAGTTTTACATAGGAATATATAGGAAAAATCTTTAAAAATCTTCTTCTCAAGAACCACTGGGCCAGGAAAGATGAAACTCATATGGAATCATCCTCAGGTAGTGTAGATTCAAATTTGTTCATATCATGACCCCTGGGGGTAGGGTGGGGCCAAAATGGCCGATCAAAGTTTTACAGAGCAATATATAGGAAAAATCTTTATAAATTTTTTTCTCAAGAACCACTGAGCCAGGAAAGGTGAAACTCATATCGAATCATCCTCAGGTTAGTGTAGACTCAAGTTTTTCAAATCATGACCCCCGGGGGTAGGATGGGGCCAAAATGGCCGATCAATGTTTTACATAGGAATATTAGGAAAAATCTTCTCAAGAACCATTGAGACAGGAAAGATGAAACTTCTGTGGAATCATCCCTAGGTAGTGTAGATTCAAGTTTGTTGAAATCATGACCCCCGGCGGTAGTGTGGGGCCATAATGGCCGATAAAAGTTTTACATAGGAATATCTAGGGAAAACTTTTAAAATCTTCTTTTCAAGTACTTTAAAGCCATGCTTAGTAATATTTATAGGGAATCATCCTCAGGTAGTGTAGATTGAAGTTTGTTCTAATCATGACCCCCCGGGGGGTTAAAATTCAAGCCCCCTCCCCCCCCCTTGGTAAACTTACAGTTCTGATCTGATGTGCGCTTTTTCTTAGCCATTGCTCAGGTGAGCGATGTGGCCCCTGGGCCTCTTGTTATTCATCTAATACTGTGTCAACATTGATTTCCGCTGTTTGTCTCCCCAGGACCCCACACATAATTTTATTTATGTTTAACAAGTGTGCAAGATCTGCTCCCATGCAAGAGTCACAGGATGCAGTGGATTTGGATTTGAATTTGGGCATGTATAATTTTCCAATCTCTCACCAGAGGGCGCGCTCCGCTTACACCTCTGTTGTCGTCTGAAAAGTAGTTCGGATTGCCAAATAAGTAAAATGTCAGCAAAAATTGTATAAACATTGATTGTTTTGTATGTTTTGTCAATGATTTTACGTGTTTTAAGCTCTCTGTAGTAAATATTTTCTAACTCTGTCTTCTTGGTTTCAGAATGAAAATGTGTGTAAAAATTCAAAAACAAAATAGCGCCGTATATATTGAAACTATTTTAATATATATCCAAATTCTGAAAGAACAAAAGAAGTGCTACAGATTAATATTTCTAATTTCATTTTTAAAAATTACCAACTTGATGGGAATCTATAATTTATTTTCGTTTTACAAGATTCTTGTAATTTAGACGATAACAGAGGTGTTGGAGCGGAGCGTAAAAACGCCCTCTGGTGAGAGATTGATAATTTTCCTGAATATGTGGATAAAGAAGATATGGGCATCTTAAATACAACTCTGGATGGGATTGTTAACATGCTGTCTGGTCTGGATAACAAACTGAATGATGTGAACACCAAGATGAATGATCTTGATAACAAGGTGAATAAACTGAACACCAAAGTGAGTGATCTTGATAACAAGCTGGATAAACTGAAATGTTACAACAGCAGTGGATTTTGTTACATTAGTGCCCAATTATCCCCAATCACAAAGTCATTAACAGGAAAGACAGAAAATGAGAGGGAGGGAAGCACTTACCAGAAAAAAGAAGGACCAGGGGGATCAGGAGAGAGTAAGAAAATTAAACAGATGGATCCATGCTACGTATTAGTAAAAGACTTAGAAAAAACTGAAGAAAAAAACCCTCAGGAAACCAAGAGGAAACTACCCCTGATGATGGAAAAGGCCCAGAAGAAGAAAAAAAGTGGAGAAAAAAAGCCTCAGGAAACCAAGAGGAAACTACCCCTGATGAGTGATAAGGGACAGAAGAAAAAGAAAATGTAACTTGATGTATTTTTTTCATTCTGAATAAAATCTGTGTTCTTGTTCTTGTATTGTGTGTGTTCTCGTCTTTTTTCAGTAAAAAAAAAATCCAGGGTTTGTTATTGTCTTTCAGTAAAACCAGTTTGAACCGGTTAGGCTAGGCTGTCTAGACTGTGAATGAATGCGTGACGTCATAATGACATTCTTGAGTCGCTGCCAAAATTGTAGTAGCAGCGTATAGTATAATGTAAACACAGTGTAAACACCCCGTATTTAGGGAGCTATGTACTGATCCACCTATTCCCCCAAGGACTGTACTGAGTTGAACCCCCTATTCCCCAGGGGATGCACTCCCTTGACCCCCTTATCCCCTCAACCAATCAGAATCCTCCATTTTTTGACCTCATTTGCATAATGTCCTAGATATTGACCCATCTATCTAGACGCCTTATACTACTGAGGTTAAAAGACGGTTTCAATTTGAGGTATAAATTCAAAGAAAGTTTTATTTTAAGTAAGGTACGGTATATAAATCATCCATTTGTCCTTTATTTGACTATTTACTACGTTTCTACTCCATAACTAAGACAGGCGAATGACCTTTCGTATTAAAGAATTTTGTTTTATTTTTAAACTATAACAATGAATTAAAAATATTTACATATCAAATGACACATTATGCAATATTTCATCGAATTTTGTCATAATTTTGAGATGTGGACGATGCGTGAAAGTGTTATTTAAAAAAAAAGAGTAGAGAAGTTCCAAATGCCCTCCTTTCAATCCGGATTTGTTTTCGTTTTTATTCATCTAATACTGTGTCAACATTGATTTCCGCTGTTTGTCTCGCCAGGACCCCACACATAATTTTATTTATGTTTAACAAGTGTGCAAGATCTGCGGTAATTTAAGGTATTGAACAATATTTTCATGTCAATCTGAGCGAAGTGCTGTTCCACATTTATTAAATCAATCGTGTGAGAGGGGTTGAATTGTGTAAAATTAGACATGATGCATGCTAAGTAGGCCCTTGGGGCATTCTAAATTTTGATGTCATCTTTTAAGACAGGCAGTGTAACAGAATGAGTACAGCAGTACGTTTATCAGAATAGTGCATTTAGAAAGGGTTCAGTTACTTTATATTCATTGACAGGTGGAAGTAGCCGAGGAGGGAAGCTGAGGGGGGGGGGGGGGGGGGGGGGGGGGGGGGGGGGGGGGGGGGGGGGGGGGTATGGCAGGTCAGGTATCCGGATTTGCCGGGAACTTGGATACTTCTAACCGAAATTAATAGTTTCTTTAAACTATAGAATGTTGGTAAAAGCTGGGAAACATCGAGAAAAAATATTATTTATATTAATATATTGACATATGATAAACATAAAAGTATGTTGCAGAAAAATACAAGACTGTCAAGAGTATGTTAAATTTTACCCAACTAGTAATCATGACATGATGGCATTATTTTAAGCCATCTCTAAAATAATGTTAGATGGGGAATGTTTCTATCCTAGAAAATTTGAACATGCACATTGACAGGATGAGAAGTACATTTAAATACTCACAGGGTTAGATAGCTGCAGAACTGTAGCTCTCTGCTTGAGAAAATTCGGACAGATAAAGCAGAGAGCTACAGATCCAAGGGGTGACTGGAAAAACCCGAAACCCCCGATTTTTGGAGAATACCCATACAGGAGGGGTGAAACCCCAATAAACTGGTGGAAACCCCATAAAATTGAACGTAATGGGGTACAATAAGGCCTAAGGTGATGTTTAATTGAATGATATTGACATCCGTAAATTTTTATAGCCAATTTTACCTCAGAATCGACGGAAATCGGGCGCCATTACGAGTTTACCGTACACCACGCCCGATCTAAATTCGAAGCGAGCTGTTTGTCAATATAATTGCATAGATAATAATAAAATAATTCATAATAATTTCCACAATTATATATTTGTTTTACAATGATCATAGTAAAATATTAATTATGTAATAAGTATTTAACAAAAAATGTAAGGACGTTAGCCATTAATGAAATATGAATTTGTGTACTAATTATTCATATCATCTCAATGTAACCAGCTCTAGCCATGTGGGACCTCCTTTTTGTAGAGCCATAATTTAAGATGATTTTAGAGAAATTCTGAATTTGGAGATATAAAAATATCCAAAAGTTTCAAAGGAACAATAATAATTAAAAAAAAAAATAGTAATGGTAATTAATTAATAATTACTTATATGTTAGAAAGAGAGCAAAAAAACTAGATAAATTTCAAAATATGAAAATACTGAACTTATTTTTGAGATTTTAGACAAATTCTGAATTTAAAGCAACAATAATAATTTAGAATAAAAATAATAATTACTTATATGTAAAATACAAAGAGAACAAAAAATGACTCATTGTCAAAATATGAAAATACTGAAACCTGGAAAGAAATAGTAAATTAAAAGAATATATTAATTTTCAAATATATAGATATTTTATTTCAAAGTAACCTTTTTCTGTTCTTTTCTTAGAAAAAAAAAATCAGATGCTTTAAATATTTCAGTTGTTTACATTTTGAATTGTCTTTATATTAAAACAAATATGAAATAAAGAAAAGTAAAAAAAATTACACCATAAAATAAAATAACAGAAGTTTTGATTGAATTTTAACTATGAAAAAATCTTAGTCTGGACTGGTTGAAAGTGAACTGAAAATATTTGATCATCTCCAAGCATAGGTATTTTATGTAATTTTACATTTCATCGCCAGTTGAATCTGTCGACTAAAAGTTTCCATTGCCTCTCTGTTCAAACTATTCCCATTCTCATGCCAAATGTTTTTATTCAAATATTCTGAGAATTTCCATATTTCCTTTGTAGTGCTTTATTTATGTCAAAAACCGTAGAATAAATTATTGTACTTTCCTGGATTCATGGTTCCACAATTAAATCATTTGCCTAAACAGACTTCCAATGAATATTTTTTGAGCCGAATCGTTTCTTAACAGTTTTTCAAGAATGTTTTGGATTTATTAACACTATTTCTGACACAGAAGATGAATTTATGTCTTTTTCTCCCACTTGCAGAAACACTTTTGTTGGACAAAATTCAACTGCTCTTCCGCGAAAGATTGACTATAAATAAAGCTTTTTGTTGTAGCTAGTATCTTTGTCACTAAAAAATTGAACTCAATATAATTATTTAGCAACGTAAAATTCACACAACCATTTGCTACACTATTCTCTAATTCTAACACATGATTTTGACCAATTACCGCAATTCGTTCTGAATAAGTAATAGATGGAACGGGTGCCTGAGGAGTTGTAGGAATTACTACAGAGGAAGCTCAGAAAAAGTAGGAGTAATTAAGGGAGCTGCTGAAGGACTTGGTACGGGTACAGGTGGAGGAATTGAGGAAGCTGCTTGCTGTCGGGATGGGTGCTGGATTTGACGGAGCTGATGCAGGACCTTGGATGGGTACAGGGTGCCTTGTAAAAGGGGAATAGTTGAGGGAGTCATGCAGTCATTAGAGATCAGGGGAAAGCACCCTGTTTAATCCTATACACAGAAGACGAAATTCAACTGACATTAAAACTTTATGTTGCAGTGGACAGACAATTTTAGGTGTTGACAAAACTTTTAATCTTTGTGACATGCATGTCTTTAAATATCAGCCATCCTTTGCTCAATTATTTATTAAGGTTAGAACTTAGAGTAGGGTTGGTATCAGGCAGTATTCCTCCCCCGCCAGACAGGTGCTGACCAGTGAATACTGCTTGGTGTTTTGTTAGGTTAGGTTAGGTTAGGAGTATAATTGTTTTTTTAAATGTTGCTAATAAAATTATAAATTCCTTTCTCTAAAATTTTTATAATGTTATTTTATTTTATGTATATTACTTTCATTTGGCTGTAATATTTTTATATTTGAACAAAAGATTGACTAGGAATAATGATACAGTATCTTTAAGTCTTTTAAAAAACTTTTTAATAAAAGTTTTTTTTTATTTTTTTATCTTTTGGTTCTTTGGCTTTAATATTTTTCTGTTTCAAAATTCAAATAATGGCTCTACAATTAAGGAGGCCTCCACATGGGCTAGAGCTGGGAACATAAGGAAACAATGAATATTTTCAGGTATTACTAATTTGAAAGGTCTTTATTTATTAATTTGTCATGAATTATCAAAATTATCAATTTGAAAATTCATATTTTCCTTATGTGTGTGCTAACGTCCTTTAAAATGAAATTCTGTAAAGCATAACTGTACAATTGAGAATAGTAAAGGTTCAGTGCATATACACATGCCCTTCCAGAGGGGGGTTGGTCAGACTAGCTGTGAACCCAGGTGTTTAAACAAAAGGTGTTTATTATCAAGTTGACCAAGTGTCAACAGCTGTGTATATAGTGCATGTACACACACAGGGGTGCCTGTCTATCCCAGTATAAAACAACAGAGCTAGCTGAGGTGTGAATAATATTCTCACAACAATGTTACAATGCCCACTGTACAAGGATTCACATATGCAACATGCACATTTTTATTATTTTTTATCACACTTTTTTATTTCATAGACCTGGATTCTAATAATTTCATTGTAATGGATACATGTTGCTTTCTCATATCAATGAGTATATTTTTTTCTATTACCTGCATAGAAAACAAAACAAACAAACAAAAAAAACCCACTCTCTCCCCCCCCCCCCCCCAAAAAAAAAAAACAGAACCAAAACATTAAAATAAAAAATTAGTAACTGGAAAATAATAATGAATGAATACTGAATTTAAAAATTAATTATTTAACATAGAAAAAAACATTTCAAAACAAACACCTTAATTAAAAATTAAATAAATTAACAAATTCATTCATTAGTTAATTCAATTTGAATACATGTTATAAATGATTGGAATTGAGAAAAATTACTTTATTCCTTGATTAATGGACTAGTTAAATTCATAAAAAAAAAAAAAAAAAAATTCAATTAAAAATTTCACTGTAATGTCTTTCATTATGATAATTACATTAACATATTCAGTCATTAATTAATTTAATTTAATTACATATTATAAATGATTGGCCTGGAATTTATAAAAATGACTTTATTTCTTGATTAATGGACTAGTTAAACTCTTTAAAAAAATGCACTGTAATGTCTTTCAACATGATAAATATTTCATACTTCTTTTATATTCTTAAGGTTTCCTTACAAATAATTTTTTAAAAAATAATATTCATACATAATATAATATTCATATTGATCAAGGTTACAGTAATTATTTCCACGGATTGTCGAAACGACTTCAGCGATCGCGAATTTAGATCGGGCGTGGTGTGCAGTATATCAAAAAAGAAGAAACCCGTCGATTCTGAGGTAAAATTGGCTATAAAAATTTACGGATGTCAATATCATTCAATTAAACATCACCTTAGGCCTTATAGTACCCCATTACATTCAATTTTATGGGGTTTCCACCACTTTATAGGGGTTTCACCCCTCCTGTATGGGTATTCTCCAAAAATCGGGGGGTTTCGGGTTTTTCCAGTTACCGGATCCAAGCATTGTAAAAACCTTCGATTTACTTTGACAATTTTTTTGTTGCTCACTTTGGGTATTTTTTCTTATATTCTATACTCTCCCCAAATTTAGAATGGTATTTAAAAATTATTCATACATTTAACTGCAATTCCTGATAATTTACTTACCTGTCAAATCTAACAAATGGCTGCTTTTGGTTTGGGACGTCGAAAAGGAACTTTTTAAAACCGACATTACAAAACTATTTAAAGGACTGTTTGGTGCCGTTCAAAGGTAAATAAAGTATAAAAAAGGTTTTTACAATGCTTGGATATGTAGCTCGCTGCTTTATCTGTCTGAATTTTCTCAAGCAGAGAGCTACAGATCTGCAGCTAATAGTGATTTGCAAAGAAGATTTTTGGAATCTCTAATAAATTCCAAAATTTATAATATTTTAATAATTTATGATATGTTGTATATCCATTATGGGACTCTTCAGAATTAGAGGCGTGTTTAGTCGTGTGACTGGAACAGCATGACGTTGCTGAGAATACAAAACATGCAAATCTCAATCCAATTTTAAAAGTTAAATGTATTTGTCATTCTGATCAAAGAGTAGATAAACTAATAGACATACATGTATGTAAGAGAGCGAGAACCCTAATTTCATCATCCATTAGTAAAAATACGATATTTCCAAGGCATGTGCATTGTATTTAGATGGCAAACAGATACATAGTAGATGATATGATAAACAATAGATAAAAATTGATATTGTTGTCGTTTCTACTCTTGATGCATATAAAGTCCACAACAATAAAATGATTCATTTGATTTTTAGGATTTGTTCACCGACATCCAACATATTAATTGTTTACATGTTTATGTTACGTTTGTCCCAGAAATCCTGCGAGATTTGTACATTTTGCGACTTTTTTACAAAAGAGCGCAGTAAGAACTTAACTCTTCCTTAGTGGAAATAGGACATATTGTAATGAAATCTTTTTAAAATTTCAATGATATATTGAACTCTGTTATACAGAAAATTTACCTTCATGTAAATAAGATACTAATTTTGTGTCCCGTAGAGATTAAAAATCATTAAATATTTTTTATGAACAAACTATAGAATATTTCAACTCTGAATTACTGGTCATAGTATTTTTTTTTTAACTTTTGAGCTTTAAGATAACTTTGTATTAACCATTTCATGTAATTACATTAACTGAGATACTACTCTTTTGCAGGTCAAATTATAGCTGCAGAACCATAGCTCTCCAAAAAGTATATTGACAGACCGGAGAGCTACAATACTAGTGCCACACATTGGAAAAATCTGTACATTTATTGCGCACAAAAAAGTGCGCTGTTTCTCGATTTATTTGTGCTTTCAAAACTGTCATCTCAAAATATTACTAACCGTGTGTTCCTTACATATAATATTATATTCTTTCACTGTTTCCACAACAGAACATTACTTATACATGTAATTGTTGTAAATAGCCTTCATGGCCCTGAAATCGAGATCACAGAAAATGCCGTCTATTTATACTGCCATTTTGGTTTGCAAGATAATTCAGCACAATGCGCTTTGTGTAGATATCAACTATGCAAGTACATGTACTGATTAGAGGAGTATGGGATTTTTTGAAATCTATATTTTTTGCAATTGAGTAAGAATTTGGAAGAATTAATCCATAACCAAGGGCAACTTTTTTTGCGCTATAAATGTACAGTTTTTTCAATGGGTGGCACTGTAGCTCTCTGGTCTGTCACTATATTTTTCGGAGAGGTACAGTTCTGCAGCTAGGCAATTCAATAACCTTTGGTGAAGTTTTTGTTAATTGAAGATAATATAAAATGACATATAAAACAATAGTTATTACCTCATAATTTATTTTACCACAATTTACCATTTTGCCTTGCAAAAGAGTAGTACCATAGTTATATAGTGAAGTACTTTTGGCAATCATACTTGAAAGAATAAAGTTGATAATGTGAATTTGTTATACATAGTTAATAAGTTGTGGACAGTAGTGAAGTGAATTCTAAGATCACAAGGACTTTGCTTTCATTTAATTTTACTGTGTATACACATGTATTGCCGATTTTTCTTAGTGAACAAGATAAGTTCATTGTTGAGAAATTAAAATTGCAGGACATATCCCTATGGAGAACCCAAATGAAGTCGAGGAAGAAGAAAAGAAAGAGAGCAAAGATCAGCAAAATACTGCGACTAAAAGAAAACAAGGAGATGACACAACAGAAATCAAATTTCCCAAACCACCAAGTATGCCACATCTAGAGCAATACTCATTTCACATTTTATAATGTCTTTGTTGAATATTCATTTATAATTACATTTGCTGTGTTTTTCTACAAAGCCAACTGTAAAATTGATTTGAAAGTCAATTTCGTGTATACTCACGCGTAGAAATATACATGGAGACGCGTGCGTTAACATGACGCACAATAAGGCTACAGTGAATGTAGTAAAAGTATAACGATATAGGGCAGCGAGGAATTCAAATATTGAGTATATTTTTGCTGCTTTCAAACATGTAAAATGTAAATATAAGGAATGTTTTAAGCTTTGTGTGAATTATTGGTGTGTGAATCACACGGATTTGCGCGTAGGCATACTTTTCATGAAGTGCTAGCGCGCTTCATGAAATATGCCTACGTGACAAGTCTGTGTGAATCACACACCAATAACTCACACAAAACTTAAAACATTCCTTAAATGATTTCAAAACTAATGTTAAAAGAATGCATTCCTTATACTTATATGTATATTGAGGGTAACTTTTGTAAATATTGAATGAAATTACTTTCAATAAAAATGTTAAAAGGATAACAATTTTTGTCAAGGAAAGAGAAAACCTCAGAGCTACATGTGTGAAGAGTGTGGGAAAATCTTCAACAGAGCTGATTTATTGCGCAATCATAAGCGTGTTCACTCTGGGGACAAGCCATTTACCTGTGAAGTTTGCGGAGACAAATTCAGAGAGCAGGGTCACCTGAGACGTCACATGACCAGACATACAGGTTAATATGTCTGACAAAGTCCAGCAACTACAGTTATTTGTTTAGTTCATTAATCCTTCTTAGAATGGATGTAATTGCCATGTAGGTCAGAAAATGTGTTCATTAACTGCATTAATTATTGTAATCGATTAAGTCATATAAACAATTGAAATGAAACAGACCCTGTCAGCACACTAAATCTTAAGATTATATTCAGTCATATAATCTTAAGATTTTTGATGGCTCTGCAAGAAATTAAACTTGAATAGCAAAAATTTGAATAATATTCTGTTTTAATAATTTTTCTGTTAGTTTATAAGAAAATGCATCAATTTATGAATTGTTCATAATTTTTTCCACTAATTTGTTTCCTCTGCCAGGTAAGAAGCCATACCAGTGTTACATTTGCGGGAAGGAGCTCAACAGCAGCCTGGCCAAACACCTCCGGTGCCATCTCAATGATCGACAGTTCTCCTGTGTTCTCTGTGACAAGAAATTTGTATCAGGATTCGAACTCAAGCAACACATACTGACGCATAAAAAGGGCACATTCCAGGAAAATTCTGTGAGTACAATGTTAGCTACATGTAATTACAAGTACAATATTTAGTACACGATCTAAATGCTAAAGTAAGCTTTACTCATTGAAAAATATTATGTTTTGTCTGTGGACTTTCCAAATTTTGAACTCTCTAGGCCAATTTTAACTAAACCATGCCGTAAAGCATTCTTAGGTTTTACTTTCTACAGTAAAGGGCAACAACCTCTGTGATACTTTTTAAAATTCTATGATTCAAAGAGATAAAACTCATGTGAAAGTTTTTTTTTCAAATTTGGGTCACTAGGAATGGAGTAGGGCCAAAGGAAAAAGGATAAAAGTTGATCCAGTAAATCAAAAATCTTCACAAGAATCTTTGTAACAATAAAGGGTAATAATTAGTCATACTCTGGGAGTTAAAAAAAAGAATAAACTCTTTTCATACAAATGAAAAAGGTGTGTGTTTTTTTTTTATTTGCTCACCTGAGTCACTCAGTTGACCCATTGCTATCCATTTTTATCCGTCATCATGCATTAACATTTGAACATTTTCAGCTTCTTCTCTGCAACCCCTGAACCAATTTCAACCAATTTTGGCGTAGAACATCCATGAGTGAAAGGGAACAAAAATTATGAATTTCGTGCCCCCCCCCCCCCCCCCTTCGAGAAATGAGGGGTGGGACCAAAACCACTACAATTAATGCAATCTTTAAAAATCTTCTTCTTTACTTCTGGACGTCAAGCAGTCAAATTGTTGACATTATTGTAATAAGCATTAAGTCCTCTACCAAAATTCTGAATTTCCTGGCTGCAAAGTCAGTGGTTGTGATGAAATGTAAATATGATATAGTAAAATGTGTGAAGTCACTGTAAATGTTCAATGAATTGCATAGTTATGATGATATCTCTTCCAAATTTGTAAATTTCATGACCCTAGGTCATGGGTTCTGGTGTTAGGGTAGGGATGGATAAATCTGTAGTGAAAATGCATTATTCTTTGAAAATCTTCACTGCACCTGGGTAAATTGTAGGCAAACAGATTGAAATTTTAATCAGCAAGGGTATTTTTCCATAATTTTGAACATATGGACCATTAAGTCAAGTGTTCTGGCTCTGGACAGGGCTCTAATTATTTGTATTTTACTAAGCGAAGTTATTCCTCTTTGCCATCACTGTAAACAATGTATTTGAAAGGTAAATAGAATAGAATTAGAGAATTATGCAAGAACGTTTATTTTATAACACATTAAGTACTTTCACAGTTTTAATTATGGGTAGAGAGACAAAAATAACTTATCTTTCTAATGTTCTTCAAGGGCCAAGATAGGCCAATGTGAGAGGTAATAATGGGGGTTAAATAAAAGATATTTAATGGGAATATAGTTTCATGATAATACTTGTAGTGATAAATAAATAAGGGACAGATAGATACTAGACCAATTATTTGTGGATTCTATATTTTTCTTGCTTTTGGGCAACAATTAAAGCTTCATTTATCAGTTTATGGATCCTCTTAATTGTTGTACTCAGGTGACCATTAAGGCCCTTGGATCTCTTTGTTTAAACTGAAGAAATTTATGCATACAGTAAGATGGAATATTTTTATATTTCAGTTAGTAATATACATGTTTATCAAGTATTTGCTAATACATCCTCAAAAATCAATGTAATTTTAGCCAAAGAAAACAAACATTCTATTCTATTAAGTTAATAAGTTTTTGTAAAAATATACATGTTTGTTATTAAGACAAAAAATGGAATATGCTGTTAATAGTGTTTTAATAATGCAAATATATATCCTATAATACAAGCAATAGTGTATAATTCTAATATCCTAGTATAACTTCTTGACACTACTTTTATAGCTGATGAAATTCCTGTGTTATTATTTTTGCCAGGAGCAAGTTGATTTAGTTGATGACATTTAGATTATTCACAACAAATGTTGATTGCCCATTGGCCATATTTTTTGATAATTAAAAGAACCAAGTAAATTACAGTGTCAAAATTCTCTCCTTCATATAAACAAATTACACCATAATTAGCTGTGAACTGTGCACTTTGCTGAATAAAAACATGAGTGTTGATTCATTTTTTGTTTGCCTACACAGAACAGAGGAACTCCCAGTCTAGACAAGAGAGAACCGAAGTTACCTAAGCAGATCCCAGACTTTCCTTACGTGCAAGGGGGATCCTCAGAGATTGGTCAGAGAGCACATACAGATACCACTGAAGCAGAAATCGCATCATTTCAGAAATTTGCTGAGGAAACGCAGATGGCTCTGTACAGAAGACTGGCCGTGGCTCAGGGAGACCAGTCCGTAGTGAACCAGTTTAGCGATCAATCAGATCCCTCCCTTATGAACTGGGATTATCTGTCATATGCCACTGGAATGGGGCTGACACCAGCAGTTCCCAGTCAGCAGCAGTTTAAAAGCAAGTCCTCTGGAAGAAAAAGACTGTCTGACTTATCATGGGAGGTTTCACAAAGCACTCAAGGAGTGCAGCAGTGTACTTCGTCTAAACCAGATGTACAAGAAGCATCCATGATGGGTACAAAGAAGGACAAAGTGACAAACCAAGGCTCACTGAGTCTACATGATACTTTGATGAACCAAGGTACACAGAATCTACAGGGGGTAGTCTTGAGTGAATCAAGTAAAAACAAGGAGACAAATTCAAATATAGAAAGTGAATCAAATGAACAAAGTATCCCAGACAATAATCAGGACCAGAATCACAAAGAGCAAGCAGAAACCCCTGATGCTCCTTCCATTATTCAAACCCCAGATGCAAGTCCAGTGAAATCCGTAGAAGAGGGTCCTAGTGCCTCTTGTAGCAGTCAGAGCCCACTCAAAGCAGGAACAGAGCTGAATTCAGATTCATTTACAAAGGTACAGCATTTAACAATCAGTGTTAAGGAGGAACCCCCTGATGTGGAAGATACTGCGACAACAGATGGTTTATCAGAGGATGATCCCACAGAAGACTTCCACCATCCTGATGACTCTGGATCTACTACTGATGAATACGAAGCTGAGGCGTATTTTCAAAAGCTAGATGACTCAAGTATAACTGAAAAGGACAAAAGTGATTCAGACTGGACACCCGAATCTCCAAAGAAATCCCTGAAGATCAAAATAAAGACCCCTAAAAAGGCACCGAAGAGAAAAGCTTCAAAGAAAGGCAGTGAGAAGGAAGCCCCTAAAAAGAAGGCAAGGAAAAAGAAACAGAAAGAGGAAGAAGAGGAGCTTCCCACCACCATGTGTACAGATTCAGACACACTGTTTGTTATTCCCCCAAATGAGGAGTCACCTGGGGGCAAAAAGAAAAGAACAGGTAAGAGATACAGTCACTGAAATTCAAAATTCTGTAGATACTGGGTACAGGTACATGTACATATACTGTATACAGGGTTAATTTTGCCCTTTCACACTTGCAATCAATTTTCCTCCATCTTAAATTCGTCTAGTCACAGTTCTGTTTAAGAAATTATACTGCTTTCTTTGAATTTGCCACGTTTTAAATTCAATCAACCGAGGGAAGGGCAAAAATAACACGGGGACGAAATTTTCCCTGTATACAGTCTTTTTTGTTTTGAGTTGTAAATATAAAATCAAAGTACTCAGAAGTACAGAGAGCCGGGCTCATTTACAGAGTAAAATGAATTTCTTACATGAATCATACGTTTATATTGTATTAACAGATAAATAACAAAAATATCAGATTAAAAATTCTGATGAAAAAATTATTTTAAAACTAGCAATATAAATTATAAGACACTGACAGTGAGTTTTTTATCCAAATACCACGGTCCGATTTTGTCAAAATCAAAATTAATCTGGTACTAGGGCTGAATGTAAACAAACAGTCCAGTCTGGTTCCCTCTCCTTTTTTTCCTCGTTAGTGTAGAGAACTACGATAACACTGATTATCAGAAATCCTTACGTTAATTAACCATGTTCTTTGACTTAAGACTGAAGTTTTCAAAGTCATTACTACTAATGTTATTTATTTAGATAAAACTTTGTTTTATTTATGTTGCTTTATTTAGCGTTTGTATTATCTCAGAAGCGGTTGAGAGTAAGAACTATATTTTTACACGTAACTTTAAAATGGCGACTATGGGGTTGACATCCTGTCTTGAACAGGATGACATAAGCCGGCAATTGCTCTTTGAGCAATAAGCCCGGCTAATCATGTACAAAACATTCACAACTTGTATTTAAAAATTCTGTCAATGTATTTTTGGATTTAATTGAGGTTTAGATGAGACAATCCCTCATATGAATCTAATCTGTATTTATTACATGCCTTTTACATATACCAATACATATAATTCCTTGTCCATTACCTTTATTCTGTCTAACTCTGTTTTGATGATATCATTTCAATTACAAATTTAATGAATTGATAAATTTTCATTTCATATTTACAATTAATGGTAACTTATGATGTTCAGAGATTAACACTCCTCTGTGACACACGTTTTTCTATTAACTAACTTTTTCCTGTCTTTACAGCTAAGAAGGACAACGTTTTTGTGTGTGACGAGTGTGGTAAGGTATTTTTCCGTAATGATCTTTTGAGGAACCACATGAGAGTCCACACAGGAGACAAGCCTTTCACGTGTGAAGTCTGCGGGGAGAGCTTCAGGGAGTCCGGGCATCTACGACGTCACATGACCAGACATACAGGTAAATCATCTCAACATTTGTAGAAGTTTTTCACATAAGTGTAGTTCTGTATTATAAATCAAGGAAGAGTGTTTTGTATTAAATAACTTTCAGTTTGTGGGTGCTTTCTTCCATTTGTATTAAAATGGGAGGTATTTAAACTTTGCTGACAGGAGAAAAAGTAACATGAAATGCACAGGTCACTTCATTTTATACAGACACAAAATGTAGGATTCTTTGTTTAACATCCCTATAGGAATTTTTCACTCATTTCAAGAGGCCACCACTTGCCAGTAAAGGGCCTGTACTCTGCACTTATAGCATTTGAGCAGTGAGGGATCTTTTACTATCTTTTCAAATGGATGCATCCCCACATCACACATTGGATTTGAACCTGTGACTTAAGGAATAACTCTTTACCTTGGGACTCTAGAGAAAACTCTGATCACTGCTCCACCTTGGTGATCAAAACACATAAAACATCAAATTTATATATTAAACTAACTTCTTAGCAATAATACACTTCATGTTGGCTATGGGTTCCACAGTGCTGTTAAGTGTAATAAATGTGAAGGGTATATCTACCCTAGTGCTGATGTGGGAAACAGGAAAATTCATATTCAGTTCAAAGTTTATTCTAGAGTTGTTCAAGATATTAATGAGCATAATGTAAGTTGATGTCTGAAAACTTTTATTTTTTTGCATGTTCCTTACATTTTAGACAACAATCTGTTCTTTCAGGTAAGAAGCCCTATAAATGCGAGCTCTGTGGTAAAGAATTAAACAGCAGTCTGGCCAAACATATGAAGCGACACATGAATGATCGCCAGTTCCCCTGTACCATGTGTGACAAGAAATTTGTCTCTGGATTTGAACTGAAACATCATATGATCATACATAATGCATCTGACCACATTCCTTGCCACATCTGTGGCAGAAAATTTAGCCACACCAACATTCTACAGCGACACATGTTGACCCACAGTGAGAATCGACCATTTCCTTGTCCTGACTGTGATAAGAGTTACAAGTGTAAACAAGATCTGGACAGACACAGGTCAATTCACAAGGAAGTCTTCACAGCTACGTGTCACATCTGTGGTAAACAGTTCTGCCAGGATCGCTATCTATACAGACATCTCAAACGCCACCAACAGTTAAAGGAAGAAGGAATAGACGAAACAGAAAGACCGACCAAGATGAAACCTTTTTCTTGTGAAGTGTGTCACCAAAGATTCACCACTGCTCCAAATCTGAAGCAACATATGCATCTTCACTTTTCTACAGAAAAATTTGCATGTTATTTATGCAGTAAAATGTTTACCCAGAAGCGATATCTTCAGCGTCACATTAGGAGACATAAGGAGAACCGTTTAGGCAAGGGTTCCAATATGGACGACACAGAGGCCCTGATGGGGCACATGGTGGCTACTTTCAATGAGGAAAATGGTAAACACAGCAGAGATCAGCTGATGAGCTCCTCGGTGTTCGAGGGTCCTGCCGATCCGGACCGGACCCTAGAGGAGGGGGAGGTCGAGAACCAGCAGAGCCACAGTGAGGAGAACAGGCCCACTGATCCCACTTATCCCACATACTCACAAACTCAAGCCATTTCCTCCTCAAAGCCCGTCTTTCCATCCATTGACTCAGGTTTTTCTCCCTATGATAATGAGGAGTTGGATGGTTCTGAGGAGGGGGAAGAAGTAGACTACATTCCTCCCCAATATTTAAACATGCCGTCATCACATCTACCAATAACTCAAGCCCATAGTGGAGTTCAGCACATTTAACTTAACTTCACAGTGCTGTTTTGTAATTAAAAATAAATCAGGGAGAAAAAAATACAATGTTCTCTGCAATTTTTTTATGGTTTATTGAACAAAATGTTTTGAATATACAGATTATGATGATAAAATATCATTTGGAGATTTTTAAAATCCATACTTTTTATGTTAAATTTGCCTAAATAAAATGAAGCTTCTTTGTTGTACATAAGTGTTATGTTAGATTTTCATTTTTTTATTTTATTTTTTAAAACTACTTTTGCTTTTACCACTGTATATAGATTTTGTTCCAAATATTTGCATTCTTATCATTGAGAGTGGAATTATAGTAAAACAAAATACAGTCAACTTTAAAAACCTGGCATTTAACCCATTACTCCTTGTAAACTATTGGAATTTCCTTTACATGTAATTGTATCAATATGAAATTAATATTTATGAGTTATTCTTATGTCATTGAATACGCATAGAATTATTTATATAAATCTAAAGTTAGCTAAAAAATGTGAGTTCTTGTTTTTTTCTTCTGAGCAAAAGGTTTCTTTTCTTTTCTTTTTTTTTTAGCACAGAATCTACAGGGTGAAAATGAGATAATGCTTATGGGCTTCCTCTTTGCTTGTGACTAATCTTTCTATGGTCCAATATCAATCAAATTTTATAGACAAAGGTTGGATTCAAAATTGCCATTTGCCAACTTAGGGTATGGAGTCCATACATTTTTTATAACCTTAAACAGAAAATAACATCTTAATGAAAATTATCTCCCCTTAAATTTAAACTGATAAGGGAAAGGGTTGCATACCCATATATGGATAAAGTTGTACCTGTAAACTAAAACTGTAGCTGGAACTTTCATAGATACAAAATCTTCTTGTAAGTTTACGAGCAGTTTTGTCATGGTAACTAAAACGATTTTAAAAGAAAGCTAGATCTCTGAAGACACTCGTATTACAGCTGGGAACTTGATACAAAGAGTAGAGGACACTAAGATACGTGGACCAATTGCTATTGCATATACATGATTAATTAATTGGCTCCTAAACTCTTTTATTGGCTTTTGCTTTCATTCACAGATACAAAGTCCATCAAACAAATCATTCGTAGGATGGAGGTAGTTGACTTCCGTCAGAGAAATAAATTCATTTTTCAGATGCCACTTAACATTAGTTCAGAAGTCTATTTTGCGTAGTTGGTGTTTCATGTTGATGAAGAATTGTGCCGCATATTGGCACTGAAATAAGAGGAATGAAACAGAAATTGCAATTTGTTAATGGAGAAAAAAGAATACATGATGTAATACACTCTATTAGGAGTCGAAATCACACACACCTATTAGTTCTCCTGAATTGCAACCCAAGGTGAGCTTTTCTTATCACCTAAACGTCGTTTTGTAAACTTTTTATGGAAATAATAAGCCTAATCTTCCGATTTCAAACATAAAATAACTTAATAACACATTTTATTTTCTGCGTTTTTTCGTAAATTTTTAATATAGATCTACATACAAAAAATGAAAATGCAATCGACATTTTTTACGGTTAATTTACAATGTACAGCAACTTGTCTCATAACTATTTTTTCAAGGCATATTAGTTTGATTCGTGGCATCGCTTATCTTTACGACCATTAGCGATCTTTTCCTGATGATTATGAAGACAATGAAATTCAGTATGCCTCCAATATTAGAAAACGTAGTGACAAAGTGGAAAACAGCCGTTGGTACTCCGTCAGGGTGAACGAAAGTCCAGAGTCCGTACACTGCCATGGCCCACCACTGTATGATGAAGGCTAGGACGAATAGCGACATCGAACGCGCTGCATTGTGATTGGCTGTCAATGTTTTCGTCTGCGTGCCGATACTTCTGCGCAAGCGCCTTGTTTCTGATGTGAGTTTCTGAAATATGAGGATGTAGAGTGTGGTGTTCAGCAGAAGGATGAAACAGAGAGGGACTGTGGTGAAGAAAAAGTTGGCTGTGTTCCCAGTCACTCCGTCAAAATAACAGCTGAAAAATAATACACAATGTTAGCTGTGTTCCCAGTCACTCCGTCAAAATAACAGCTGAAAAATAATAAACAAAGTTAGCTGTGTTCACAGTCACTCCGTCAAATTAAAAGCTGAAAAAATAATAAACAAAGTTAGCTGTATTCCCAGTCACTGCATCAAAATAACAGATGAAAAATAACAAAGTTAGCTGTGTTCACAGTCACTCCGTCAAATTAACAGGTGAAAAATAACAAAGTTAGCTGTATTCCCAGTCACTGCATCAAAATAACAGCTGAAAAATAACAAAGTTAGCTGTGTTCCCAGTCACTCCGTCAAAATAACAGCTGAAAAATAACAAATAAAGTTAGCTGTACTCCCAGTCACTCCGTCAAAATAACAGCTGAAAAACAACAAAGTTAGCTGTGTTCACAGTCACTCCGTCAAATTAACAGGTGAAAAATAACAAAGTTAGCTGTATTCCCAGTCACTCTGTCAAATTAACAGCTGAAAATGATAAACAAAGTTAGCTGTTTTTTTCAAAATAACAGCTGAAAAACAATAAACAGTTAGCTGTGTTCTCAGTCACTCCGTCAAAATAGCTGAAACATGATAAACAAAGTTAGCTGTTTTCACAGTCACTCCGTCAAAATAACAGCTGAAAAATAATAAAGTTAGATGTATTCCCAGTTACTCCGTCAAAATAACAGTTGAAAAATAATAAAGTTAGCTGTATTCCCAGTTACTCTGTCAAAAAAAAAAAAATAAAAAAAAAACAAAAAATAAAAAACAAACAAACACAAAAAAAAAAACAGCTGAAAAATAATAAAGACTTGTCTAAAACCTGACAAATTATTGAAAATGTAAAGAAATAAATAAATAATAATGAAAAAAAAACATTATTTTTTTTTAAACAGTAATTCCACGAAAAAGCGGAAGAAATAACACATAAATCAACATGACATATATCAGGAGCAGTGAAAACAAGGAGCTTTTAAACTTGTGATCAGGTTTCACCAGTCACACCAACCGTGTGCTTCTTGTCCTGTCCTGGAAATAATGAAAAATCCCACAATTCGGTATGTAAAATTGATAATGTTCTCAAACAAATACATGAGAAAGGTCAGTCAGCATTTGACTTGGTGATACATTGTATTTGTTTACTATATCCTTGTAACGATCAACACTGTAAACGAGACTGTTGATAATCTTGTTTCATCAACTTGTTTGTCAATAAATTATTTATAAATTGTTTAGAGGTAGAGTATGTTGCTTAAAAGGTGGCCAACACGTTTATCATAGAGCTTGGTTGTTAGATCAATAACGTCTTTTTCTAGTAAAATATCCAAATATAAAACAGATGTGTCTGACTCTGTGGTATATTTTATTCCTAGCTCACTTGGATGTATTGTGTAAACATATGAAGGGAATAAAATTATTGTTAATTGATAAAACGTCATCGATATATATTTTTTACATACTTGGTAATAAATACAGGATTTTTGCATATGCGATATGCCTGACGTCACGATAGCCGTATCAGCCCTGCAAAATTTGCAGGGCTGATACGGATCAATATTACACCCCTAGAAAATTAAACCTCAAAAAACAGTACTTGTGATCATACACATATTTTGGGGGTTACATATTCTCTTAATTCAGCTTTGAATGCAAGGATAATTTAATTGACAAATTATAGATTATTTTTAATTTACGGGTCGGGCACATTTGAAATAGAAGTAAATGTAAAAACAAACCCAAACCGTATGAGACAATAGCCGTGTATATGTAAGAAGTCCGTGCATGATTATTTACTTATTTTCTTCTCAACTTAATGTGTACTGTATTTTATTACTAAGTATGTAATAAACATAATAAAACATACCCTTTTCCATATCAAATCCCGTATCAGCCCTCGATCAATATCAGCCCTCGGGCCTTCGGCCCTCTGGCTGATATTGGTGTCTCGGGCTGATACAGGATGTGTTATGGAAAGGGGTATGTATTATTCTCCATATATACAACCCCCGGAAATGTAGAGTTGAAGGTCGCAACAAATGTTTTCTTCCTCTCATGTATACAATTTTGAATAAATTCTGCTTCATGTGAATACAAAAATTTCTGCAGTATTGAAAAGTCGTACGTTTTGATGGATTTTGGTATTTGTGATTTCAAATTTTCTAGAAGTTACTTGGAGTTTTAAGTACCCAAGTTTGATTAACACCACTTCTCGAATAAATTGATGTATGTTCTCTTGAAGTTCTCCTTCAATGCTGTTAATATTTTAGTGAGGAGTAACGGAAACCTAGTAGAACATTAACTGAACTGGCAATGCATCTTAATAAGGATTTTTGTGAAGTTTTGAAATCCAATATTATTGTAAATCGAATTCATTTTGGTTTTCTGGAATTAAAAATCATGCAAAACTGACAAATTATTTTGAAGAATTTCCTTAGAAAGTATACTAGTGACAGCCAGGGAAGTCTGGATGACAACTGAGAAAAGTTAAGTAACAACTTGTGGAGGCTTGGCAGGCCAAAGCACAACTTCCGTGAGGAAGAGCCCATTTCATCACTCTATGGACAGATACATTCTGAGACACCCCCGAGGTCGCGCAAGAACAAAATTCTCCGCAGATCCATTCCAGTTTACATCAAGATTACCAGGAAATAAAGGGTCCAGATCATTGAAATCTTCAAATGAAGACGTTAAGAAGTATTTAAGGGAGATGCACAGTGATCCACATAGGGAGGAAGAGTTTGGAGAGTGGGAGCAGTTGATACATCCGAAAGAACCATTCAACCCTTTGATGAATCACCACCAAAGCTAAAAGAAGTGGTAGATCTAATCAAGAAAGCCAAAGCAGCATCAGCGCCAGAAAAAATGGGGATCCAAATAAAGTTCACAAGACCTGTCAACGGTTGAAAAAGCGCCTCTGGAAACTGATAAGAGTGGTTTGGAGGAGAGGTCGATTGGCAGATAGCTGGTACAGAGCAGAAGACTGTTTTATTCCCAAAGAAGAGAATTCAGAAGTACTGAAACAATTTAGGACAATATCGCTCCTGAACGTAGAAGAGAAGATATGCCTTGCAATTTTAGCAAGAAGAAACTCTAGTTATATGCTTGAAAATCAGTAAATTGATATCGCTGTGGAGAAGGGAGGAGTTCCCGGAGTATCTGAATGTATTAAGCATACAAGTGTACTGACACAGATAATCCGGAAAATTGAGGAGTCTTAAGGGGAGTTGGCAGTCATCTAGCAAATGCCTATTTGACAGTTCCCCATAAACTTGTTGAGCTGATACTCGAAAGATACCATGTACCAGAGAAGACAAGGGCAGTTTTAAAAGACTATTTAGACCATCCTCAGCTGAGATCTAAATAAGAGGCAAATTATTGACAAACAAGTTGATGAAACAATAATATCAGCAGACTCGTTTAAAGTCACCATTCGGTAAGTTCTATGGTCGATACAATGACCTTGTCAGCAAATACAATTTATCATTGAGTCAAATGCTGACTGACGTTTTTAACACTAATTGTTAGTCCATTATTTATACACTGAATTGACGACGGATTTTTCCGTTATTTCCCGATCATGACAAGGAGCAAACGGCGGATGTGACCGGTCGGCAGGGGATGCTCACTCCTCCATGGCACCTGATCCCACCTCTGAGGTTTTGGAGGTCTGTGTTTGCTCTGCTCCTATTTTGTGTTGTTTTATGGACTTTTTATCTTGAATACTGTTTGTTATCTCCATATGTGTCATCTACAGTGCAGGATTAAACAACAGCATGTCAACGCTTAGAAGTCACAGGATCCACCATATCCGTAATCCTGTTCTCAGCAGCAATGAAAATGACAGTCAAGTTATTGAAGAAGATCAGAGGGCCATGGATGAAGTCAGACTTGGGAGAGCATTCATGGGTGACATGACAGTTACAACCAAGACAGTTATTGAAGCCAAGTGAACAATACAAGAACTGGACACTGCTATCACTTGGGCAAGAATGAAAGTAAAACCAAGTAAAATCTCGTAGTTTGGTTATAAAGAATGGAAGAGTTAAAGAATAAAGATTGAAAATTGAAGGAGAGGCAATACCCAAAGTCTCAGAGAAACCAGTAAAGTGTTTAGGGAAACTCTTCAATGACACATTAATAGACAGGCAAAATGTGAAAGAAACATGCAGACAGCTGAATGGATGAAAACTGTGGATAAAAGTCGAGTGCCCGGTAGATATGAAGCATGGATTTACCAACATGGGATAATGCTATGGCCGCTATTGGTGTATGAGGTACCAATGCGCACAGTAGAAGGGATGGAAACAACAGCAAGCAGATACCTAAGGTGATGGCTGGGGGTACCTCGAAGTTTCATTATTGGTTTATATAGCTACGGGACTAAGGTACAGTTACAAGATGGGGACAGCTTCAGTAGAAGAGAAGCGCAGTTTGGTGCAGAGAGAAGTGCGTACAATGGAGGAAGATTCAATGTGAAAACAGTTGGAATGAAGAAACAAGGTGGCTGGGTGAACTGGGAAAATGCACGTCAAGTGAAGTTGGGATGGAATGATATTTGGAAGATGGAACCATTCAGACTTCAGTTTTTAAAAGCTAAAACCGGTTTATGATGTTCTTCCCAGCCCAACTAACCTGGTAACATGGGGAGTGAAAACTGATCCAAAGTGTGTCCTCTGTGGTAAACCAGCAAAATTGGAGCACATATTATCAGCTTGCTCTGAGGCTTTGTAAGATGAGAGATACACTTGGAGACATGATAGAGTCCTAGCAAGTATAGCTGACACCTTGGAGAAAAGTATCAAAAACCAAAGAAGAACACAGAGGGCCTGAGATTTGTCATCTTTGTAAAAGAAGGTAATAAAGGACATAAAGTTAGTGTTGAAGGAAGTGCTTTGCTGGGGATAGCAACAGATTGGCAGATGCGGGCAGACCTCAAGGAAAGATCAGTATTTCCATCTGAAATAATAGCTACAAGCAAGAGGTCGGATGTACTTATTTGGTCAATGGATACAAGGCAGAAAATCATTCTAGAATTAACAGTGCCATGGGAAGATAGGATGGAGGATGAGTACAAAATGAAACATCTAAAGTACCAAGACCTTCTGAAGGATTGCCAACAGAATGGTATGAAGGTCTGTTTTTTGCCATGGAAGTGGGTTGTAGAGGATTCGTGGGACAGTCTACGTGGAGGGCACTGAGAGCCATTGGCATTACGAGAGCGGAGAGAAGGAGATTGAAAGGGAGTCTGTGCAGGGAGGCGGAATCAGCGTCTATATGGCTGTGGAGAAGAAGAGCAGAAAAGTAGAACGACAATAAACAGTATAGAGATAGACAGTAAAATAGGACAGCAGTGATGTAGAGCCAAGTGGTTCCAGGCTGGGATCTGATCATCCCAGTCACCCCACCTCTGGAGGCTGTAATGAACAGCGTCCAAACAGCCGATGAAGGAGGATCCACCCGAGGATGGAACCACGCATCTTTTCATCAAGGTGTATACAAGTAATGTCCCACATTATCGATGTTCAGGACTTGCATTATAATAGCTCGGATACAAACCTTCACCTTCATACTAGGTTCAATTATTGATTGAAGTATCAATTTTCCCAAAACACATTCTATTAAACTATCCCTCGAGTTTAATTAATGTATTGATAGCCTCCGGCAATTTAAGAATCTTCTTTATAGTAATGAAAAATACTCTACTTTTTTTCACATAAGAAAATGATGCTAATGTCGTATTAAAGTCCAAAAATGATAAGTTTTAATCTTACTTCCTTTTCAACAGTGGGTATCAGCTTTTCAGAACAACAATGTATTCACCTTAAATACATGAAATATCTATTTGGTTACTCTGGATTAGTCTTATCCCATGATTCCTTGTTCAAAGTTCCAGATAACAAAATGACACAAGATTTTTAACATGGGATGTCAGGGATGATCTCTGGGAATAACTACTTTACTACATTATCTTGCACTTTACTCAAATTACTGCACTGAAATGGTAAAATGTAAATGATTAATATTAAATCATATTTTTACTACTTTATTTTTTAAAATATTTTCTTTTATCTTTATCAACCTTTCCATTCAATATTAGAAGCAAAGAAGAGTTAATATGTAACGTTCCTGTAAATTACCAGTCATTCCGGAAAGATTTTAACATTAATTAATCGACTTATATAAAGTGCACCTTTGATGTTTGAATTTCCAATTCAAGATTAAGTACTGATAATCGTATGGAACTAATAGCAAATTTAAGCATTGAGAAATCATTACCCGCTTCCTATCTCATGAAAGGTTTTTCTTGTGAAACTTCGAAATTACCATGTCTGTCTAATTAAGCCATGAGTGGTTACTGAGACATGAGAATCAAGCTTGTTTTAGAACTAAGTCGATAAAATCAAGATATTTGAAATCTAAATTAAAGAAACATTAGTTTTGAAGCCCAATTCAGATGCAATTTTCACAAGAAATGTTGAGTTTATTAAACTTCTTGCGTTAATTAAAGTTTGATTTAGCTTAAAGAATGCAATCAAGAAAAAAAATATTAACTTTAGCATTAAGTCGGCAATTGTTTTCAATTGTTATCTCAGAAAAAAATCTTTTAATGAAATTCCAAAATTAGCATATCATGCAAATAAGACTTTGATAGAGGCAATGAAAATCAAAATTAAAAAAATTACACGGAATAAAGTGATTAGTATAAAGAAATTACCCCTGTTAGATTTGGCTTTATTAGATTTTAAACAATTCCATGGTTGTATTTTTAATTCTTATATAATATTATAAAATCTAAATATTTTATATAAAAAATGAAGTGCACGTATATATCTAAGGTCTAGACTTTTTAAGATAAATCTTTCATATTTATAAATTTACCACCTCTTGACTTTGCATTTTACATCTTTAATCCAAAAACATGCGTCCAAACTATAACTAAATATGTTTATCCGCCGGTAGCCAATAAAACAAGAAGCTAGTGCTCACTAGAAATACCCCTGCTCTAATGTGAATATACATTATTATGTTAATATATTAGTACATGTACATAAGTTCAGTTACGGGCAGATGCATGGATCAATAGGGGGTTGACATCAGATTCATACAAAAATAAATCCCACCGTATGACATGCTTCAACAAAGAGTGTGCTAAAATTCCAAGCATCTGCGACGAGCTAATAATTGCTGAGAAAACTGGAACCAAAAATACACTAAAAACACATAGACGGTTCATTGAGACAGAGTTGTTCATATACAGATGTCACCAAACGCAGCTTAATGAATGGCTCACATTTAGCCCTTTACTAAAGACTCGAGGCCATTGGGGATCGGGAGTCCTTTATAGTGTAAACGGGCTACAGTGACACTGAAACCCGATTTTAAGGTCTCAACCAAGAGACTCTGACTTGCGAAGGAACAACGTTTATGTTTAGGTTTGACGCGAACGAGAATCGAACACGTGCCTTCTGGTCACATTTAAAGCGAACACACTATAAATATAAGATATTTTATAAACGACATATTATATGACAAATATTATACATTTTTTTCATTAGTGAGTATGTTTGCCCATTGGTGTCAGGTACAGTTCTGGATTTATGATATTCTTAGTCACATCTTTTTCCTGGTTATGTAGATTTTACAATAGGAAAATTAATGCAATATCATATTATATATATATCATTCTCTGCAAACCTCAATTACATTCAATTCTCGGTAGGAAAAAATACAATATGGCACTTTCATTATAGTCTTGTTTGAATAAAATCAGACTGCAGAAATTTAACATTTAATCTCCCAAGCTTTCTTTTTTTCTTGGGAAAAATGTAAAGGATACTAGAATTGAAAGTAAATACAAACATTGATTTTCCGTTTTGGACTATTTTGTCAATTGTCTTTGCACATTGGATGGGTTGTATTAAATTACAATTTATAGTGACAGATATGTAATTCATCTAAAATAAATGGAGTGTAAAATGAATATTTTTAAGCTTTTCCTCGGATAACATTTTCTATTCCTTTATATGTAGGCGTCTCCATATGAGTGAGAAATTCTCGAGAGGGACGTTACACAATACACAATCAATCAACCCTTTATATGTATACAAAATCAAATTTGATATTTGCAAATGATGAAGTTTAGTAAGATCGAATTTAAAATTCAAAATTCTTTAATGTAAAGGCTAATAACTTACAATGTACCATTTGGACCCAATTGACCAGTTAACGCAGCTATTGTTGACCCAAGCAAGGGGAGTCCAAACGTCCACAAAAGTAAACGGTAGTCCCTTGTCCCGAATTCTAAGTTACGGTTAAAGTACATCAGCAGAAACGCATTAATTGCTACAATGTTGACCAGAAGGTTCTGAGCTGTGATGAACTCGGCCAACATCAGTCCGTAAAACTGACAAAGAGCTTTAGGATACACGTGATCTCTGGTGACCAAAATGTGAAAATGGTCTGTAAAGTGTGCCAAGTTGAAGGAACCGTCACATATAGCAAGATAAACAATAAAGCGCTCACTTTTCGTCCATTTGAAGAAAGTTTTGTAGTTGCTTGTCTTAAAAGACAAAACCAACACGGTCACGGCTGATATGAAACTACAAGTAATGCATATGAGGGCTGGAATGTGTAAGGAATAAAACAAATAGGAGCCTCTTCCATAAACATCCAGATCATATCCGTTGTGCTTCGTATTGCTGACGACACTCAGGTTCGACATCGTGTCACAATTCCTTTCCTTTAGTTGGAAACCCGTATAACTTGGGGCTTTTTATACAGTGATGTTTCTATTGATTAACATCCCCTAGATGCCATAGCTTCGTCATCTGCGTTTAATTTAACACAAAAAACCATTTCAAAAAATACATTTTCTATTTTTTACATAGCAATTCAGAAGAAGATAATTGTCATCATATTTGGTGTGTTTTCTTTGCCCTCGTACTATATGTCTGACTAACTATAACGGGAAGACGTTCAAATATTCTTTTGCATTCGAAAAAAAAAACTCCACCGTGGGTAAAGGAGCTTTTATAGAAATATGTGGATTTCTACATTTGAAAAAATCCTACAAAGAATTGTAGCTGTTGCAAAACTGTATACTAGTATGCATTATGGTGTAATTGAAATTGAGTAACCATGATGTTCATCCTAGGCTTCATAAAAATCCTTACAAATAAAATTTAAATACAAATCAGGTCCCACTTCTACCTGAAAACGGTCTTGTGAGATGATCTGTGCAGTTCAGGGATAGCTAATGCTTTAGATGACGTCCTTGCATTACATTCATGCAATTTGCATTATCCTCGGAAGTGAAGCATCCTTCTACCAAATGAAAATTGAGATAAAAATTTTGGTGGAAATTTTGAAAAATCTCTTTGCTAAATTATTTACAGGAGCGAAAGACAAACGTCAGGAATAATGTCATATTAAAGAAATTGTGTTTACTTAGTAAGATGTGGATACTTACTAGTAATAACATCAACTTTAAGAAAATGTCAAATCACAAAATTTTACAAAAATCAGTAGCATCAAAAATTCAAAATGCTAGTATACTTCAATACTTCATACATCCATTCTTCAAGATAAATTAAAGTACTGGCTATAGATAGTTGTATATTCAATAAAAATGGAACTTATTGTGCACCTTAAACATTAATTTGTTAAAATAATATTGATTGTCCATACGAATACTCCGAAGTTGATATTAAAAAGATGTCAGAGTTTCTGATGGACAGTATCTGTGTAGTTTTTGGAGTTGAAGCCTGTCAACAATCTGCTAGTATTGGAATTCCCAGTGGTACTAATTGCGCCCCTTTTTTAGTTTTCAGTTAGTGTTCAGTTTTTGTATTCAAATGAAGCTCAATTCAATTAATTCAATAACTTGTTTTTAAAAAAGAAGAAATCTTTTTCTTTCGTATTGCTTTAATTCGATATTTGATACATCGACGACGACGACAGTTCATCAATTTATGATAATAATAATTAATCTTCATTTCAACTTTTATTCGATATATCTCTGAACTCGTAATAAAAATAGTGCAGAGTTAGACCGATATATTTGACGTTTTTCAGGCTTTTTTTTTAACGATTTTGATATTTTACTTGCCAGGAAAATGTCTGAATCGGCGCCATTTCAAAATCCCTTTTACCTAATGATGGTATGTGGCATGTTTGGTTTAATCTGTAGGGATACATTCTCTTAATGCCAGGGGTCCTGAGTCAACTTGATGTACTCGACACAGAATGCTGACTTCTCCATGGCACCTATCACACAAATTATGTTTTTTTTAGAAATCCAGTTTTTCCCTCTGTTTTTATGTTTTTCCTTTGAGCTTGATTACTGTTCCTAATCTCCGTATATCAGACTAAGCACATTTTAAAAGAATCTTCGTGTGAATGTTCTTTATAACTTTTCTCCCTGAGCAAAACAGGGACTTTGCCATTATCACCAAATGGGAGGAGGGGATATCAGTGAGCTCAGTTGCTCACAGTGCCTCTAGTTTTTGTTTGTATCCTCTTCCTGGTTATTGTTAACAGGCCTCTGAAGACTGGGGAAATATTGTTCGACCGAGTGAACCCCAATAAGAATGTTAAACCAGGAAAAATATTTTTGTAACATTCCTTTAATCTATACATATACTTGCGGAACTTAAAACACTGAAAATATAATTTCACAAACGTGATTGCCTTATTTCGTAACGAAGCCCTGTATGATTGTAATTGTGCCTAAATAGTTTTGGCAAAGTCAAAAACAAATTAAAACATTGGAGTTTGAATACAGTTAGCATCACACATTCCCTTGCATGCTGCATTTGAGCTCAATTGTCGCGGCACTAACACTGTATCCATTATAAATGTAAATGTCGATAGTGTTCACTGGATGCTGAACAATAAGTACGAGTTCCCTAAATAATTACATATAGTAGGATGAACTGAAAAATACCGGTATGTGTAACAAATTATGCATGCCTCTAACAAACGGAAGAGTTTCGTGTTTTTCTTTTAATTGACCACTTCTGAATGCATGTGAAAGGGAGCAAGGTTTGCATATCAACCAATAGCATTTATGAACAAATATTTGACAACTAACACGGAAGTTATAATCCTCTAGAGTATGTATTAACTAGTCTTCCTCATCGATCAGAAATGTCTGAAATTGACAACAACAGTTTTCCAGTCCCCCACCCCTGGGTCCTGAGGGATGGGTATGACCTGCCTGTGTATGGTCTAGCTTCTGGGAGATTTTATGCCTTACACATACCTGCGCTCATCTGTATCTTCCTCAGCTTGACTTCGGTTATTGTAACAATTGTTCTCAGTTTCAGAAAAAAACCCAAAAAATCTTTTTTTGATTGGACTAAAAGTGAGAGATTTATTGTTTATATGGCAATTTGCGATGGCGCTTTTAACGTGTCGCATAGTTTGGACCATCTTCAAATTCTAGCCACAAGGAACCATGTATATCCCGTGACATTGTGTCAATTTTATGGTGTCATGTTGTTAGAGTTTATCACGGCTCAGAACTTAATGGTTAATATTGTGGCAGTTAACGCATTCACTCTTATGATCTTCAATAAACAGCTGAATTTTGGGAAACGAGACTGGCGACTTCTCTTGTGGATTTTTGGAACACCTTTCGTCTTCTCAATGATAGCTCTTACAACCAAACAGATTGGTCCTACTGGCTCAGCGTAAGTTTTGAACTTTCTCTCCAAAATTACACAGTTACAAGCATACTTACTTTTAAGGGCAAGTTGCGCAAAGGGGAAGACAAAAGGGAAAATTAAAGATGTCACCGGTATTTACCTCTACTGATTTTTTTCCTATATAAAAAAGGCAGCAAAATGTGAATAATTCTCTTCAAATCTTTGTGAATGGACTAATTCCCCGTGCGTTTGTTAAATAAGCTAATCCCTGCTTCGAAAGCTAATTCCCCGGTTATCCGTAATCCTCTATATTTTACTTTTGTATCGATCTGTTATGTTAATGGACTAATTCCCCGTACATTAGTCTTGAAGCCAATTCCCCGCCACTCGTAATCCTTTATTTGTATCGGTATAATGAAACAGTTAAAAAGTATATCATCGAGGGAGTTAGCAAGATTCCAGTTCCCCTCGACCAGGACTATTTTCCTCGGCGCGTTGCATTGCGCCTCGGGAAATAGTCCAGGGGCCCGTTTTACAAAAGAACTCACGACTAAGACCAAAAACATTAGATGATTGTAAAATTTTGAAAAATTAATAATTCTCTTTGAAATTGCTTGTGTAAAAATGTTTTACCACATTCCTTTTAAAAAGTTTAAAATAATTTTTTTGATAAAATGTTAATTAAAAAGTTATATGAAGAATTAATTTTGGTCTTAAGTCGTAAGTCCTTTTCTAAAATGGGCCCCTGGTCTTGGGGAACTGTCTCTTGCTAACTCCCTCAGTGATATACTTTAACTGTATATTAATCCGAGTCTAAGAATATTTTAAATTTATCGATATCTAATGGACTTTCAGTATATAAGCAATAGTGCTTAAACTAGTCAAAATTGCTATTACCTTTTGTTGCATATCTTTTGTCTAACTGGCACAAGCATATATTTACTATGCCATTTTGCCTTATGAAGCCTTTTTGGTATCAAAACAAGACTGGCATTCTCTTTCGCAAACCAATTTCACGAAGCTAACTGTGCACCGTTTATTAGTATACTAGTATACTATGAAGTAAGTGGTTACTGGTGGTGGTCAGTGAGGTTGAAACATGTCTCAGAAATGAAGCAGAGCGATATATGTCTAACATCTCGCCTTATAGTCATCTAGTCATATGGTATCCATATACACGGTCCATCACACATCGGAGTGCCACTTTGTAGATCAATCTTGCTAAAGTCATTTGGTGTCCACGACTGCCATCAATAGAAACGTGTACATTTGATGATGATATAGCGACATATTTAGCTAGAAGCAAAAGCACCATAATGACTGCCCGGACATACTTTTCTTTGGCCAAATTGCCATCACAAAACATGGACTTTGTCATCAAGCTCTAGGGAGCGGGGGTCTCATTTATGAGATTGTGGTCATAATATCTCTAGTTTGAACATTACATACAATTAAAAAGTTTGGAAATTATATATTATTTTTCTATGATGATACGTTTGCAATTTTGTTTGTGGTACTCTTACGCCATACCGTTTAAGGTGACGTGTGCTACATAGCAATTGTTGCGTACATACTACATACCAGTATTAGACATATACCCGCACTTTCTTAATAAAGTTACCTTATAGGGTATATTGTTTATGATTGTCAACCACACTAAATTAATGTCTTAAATTTACTGCTAGTTTTAAAAAATATTAATGTTTTGTTTCAATATTGAAAAGATACTAATAAAATCATGTTTTTAGCTCACCTGAGCCAAAGGCTCAAGTGAGCTTTTCTGATCACATTTTGTCCGGCGTCCGTCTGTCTGTCTGTAAATTTTTCACATTTTCGACTTCTTCTCAAGAACCGCTGGGCCAATTTCAGCCAAACTTGCCACAAAGCATCCTTGGGTGAAGGGGATTCAAGTTTGTTCAAATGAAGGGCCACGCCCTCATTCAAGGGGAGATAATTGGGAATGAATGAAAATTTGGTGACATGTTTTAAAAATCTTCTTCTCACGAACCACTGTGCCAGGAAAAATGCAACTTATGGGGAAACATCCTCAGGTAGTGTAGATTCAAGTTTGTTCAAATCATGACCCCCGGGGGTAGGGCGGGGCCACAATGGCCGACCAAAGTTTTACACAGAAATATATAGGAAAATTCTTTAAAAATCTTCTTCTCAAGAATATCAAAGCCATGATTGGTCATGAGACTACTAGTACTTTTGGATTTAAACTTTTCAATAATAAACCAATTTCTATTTTTTCCCAGCCACAGTGCTCAGGTGAGCGATGTGGCCCATGGGCCTCTTGTTTTCTTCTAGTTGCTCGTTTGACGGCGTTAATGGGAAAATGGGATCATTTCTACTAACGACGCTTCCTCTCTCCGTCATTCTCGTTATGAACACAACGCTATACGTTTTGACGTGGATTAAACTTCGTGCTATGGAACAAATGCTGAAGAAATCACTGGGAAAACAGTCGTCTGCTACACGAACAAAGCACGCAGCAGTTCGCGCCATGTCTCTGTTTGTGCTAGCCTTCCTCATTCAATGGTGGGCCATGGCTATGCGTGGGATTTGGGGCTTCGCCCAGCCAGGTGGTGTTCCCGCTGCAGTTCACCACACCGTCACCACATTTTCCAACATCGGTGGGATATTAAATCTCGGGGTTTACCTTCTGATCAGACGACAAATGCATCTACAGTTGAAATCTGAGAGTAGCTCGGGCACAAAACGACCTGGGACTAAAGATACAAGTGACACGGAGTTATAGAATATTACAGATCTGTCAATCATAATTATTCTCAAGATCATGCCTTTTGCTCTTTGATACCAGTTCCAAAGGCTTCCAAATGCAGGATACACATTTTTTCCCAAAAAACATTAATGAATAAGGCTCACATGTATATCACATATTTCAGCCGCTATATCAAAGCCTCAAACATATAATAGCAAAATTCATAGATGCATAACACACTATTGGAGTAATGTTATTTCAGATGTACGGCTATTGTTTCCCGCTGAAAGTGGGGAATATTAATATCGGTCTTTCTTTCCGTTCGTCCGTCTGTCTGTAAGTTCTGTCTGTCTGTAGTGAAGCCTTTGACATTTTCCAATAAAATTTTACATAATAACTGCCTATGGCCAAAGGAAGACCCCTATTGATTACGAGATCAAAGGTCAAAGTAATATGTTCAAAAATGTTTTAACACTTTCGTCTCCATGCGATATCTTGAGAAGCCTTTGAGCGTTTGCAATGACATTTTATACAATAACTCCCTATGGCCTAAAGAAGACCCCTATTCAAAGGTCAAAGGTCAAGGTTGTTAATTCATATTTTCTGTCTGGGCCGGAATTAAAAATATCTTTGTTTCCCCTAACCCGACCCTAAATTCTCAAGCTGGGTCGGTAGGTAGGTAAACAATTTTATATTCTGACAGCAGCTTTGAAAATACATTTTAAAATTTAATGGAAAATTACCTTTATAAATAAGAAAAATACAAAAGAAAGCAATTTGTGAACAAAATGCTAAGTATCGTACATATGCCGTATAAAAGCAAAATTCATGATTAATTAATTCACAACTGTTATTTAGTGAACTTGTGAAATATATCACGCCATTACATTAAATAAATTGAATAAAATAGACATGATTCTATTTACGCAAAGACCAGACATACGAGTATATTTTTTCCAAACCTTCCATCAGCCTTCAGAGCTTATTGACGATCAATATACTTTTTTGAGGGCCATGAGATTTGCAGCGGTTCTGGAGCATTTTGCTTTGAAATTAAGAGAAGTAAGTGGCTAATTTTATATCGCAAGTTCAAATCCCAACTAGAGGTACTGTGAGCGATGAGCTCACTAAATGATACCCCCCGCCTCCATATAGTTATAATGGCAAAGTCCATGTTTTGCAGTGGCCATGAAACCAAAAATATATGTCCGATCAAAAAGTAAAATAGGAGGTGCACAATGGCAATATGTAATAAAGATTCTGTGAAAGTTTCATCAAATTTCATTCAGTGGTATGAGAGGAGTTGCGGATAAGAGATGGGTACCCCAAAGCGTAACAGACGGACGGACGGACAGCTAGACGGACGGACGGACAGACGGACGGACGGACAGACGTACAGACGGACGGAATTAACGATTACTATATACCCTCCCGCTTTTCAAGCGGGGGGTATAATGAGTAACTTTGAAAACGGTCCTTCAAAGGGGGCCATAAAAACTTATGTCCAATGTCGCAGAAGATGCTGGCTCAAAAAAGATCCCCCACTGCAAATGGCAAAAAAGTGCTGAGTACGTCTAAAGGAGCAATGGGGAAATGTTTAAATGTCGTCCTTACAAATCTCGCAGGGATTAAAAGCATAGAAATATCCAATCTTCAAAGACCTATTTAATAAAGAAAAATACACTGCACGTCTCAGGAAGCGGAATAATGATTTCAAAACTATTTGGAAAGAGTACCGGTATGTTAACAATATTTAATTGAACCAAACCGAATCTACAAATGATAAAAATGCTATATACAATGTCAAAGTCACGAAGTTTAACCACTAAATAAAGGCACGAAGAAAGGACATCTGAATTATATTTGTCAGGATGAATATATGCAGACATATTTACAACTCCTTTGGTTCCATAATGGCATATAGTAAACATAGGAACATAGATGAACTGGTTACTAGATTAAAAAAAAACTCAAATTAAATAAAATGCAGTGAAATTGAATGATGTGTTCACTAAGTGGGCCCCTCTTCTACTCATGAGGCGGGTCTTACCATGTATTAAGTACCTTAAATTTCAAGACAGGTTTGTTTGTTTGTTTGTTGTTTAACGTCCCTTTCGAAAATTTATTCACTCACATGGAGACACCAAGACACCTCCGAAACGCTTAATTAGTCATGGTAAATTTTATTATCGAATTGCCTCAAGAATGAAGAATTCCGATTAGCTAAAACTAAAAGCATAAGATTGAGACGTCGCCATTGTTTTATGAAGAGCTAATGCCCTGTAATCACATCTGGGCGTCATTTTGTTTCCAACAAATGCTTGAAAATCACAGTGGAACAATGTCTGCCGTTCTGATAAAAACTGATTTTGATGAAATTGTATTTTATAAAACTTGGTTAACAATAAAAAAAATATTTGAATCATCTTATTTAAAAAATCTTTTCAGTCGACGCGATTTAATTGGGTCGGTCGCGTTAGGGGAAACAAAGGTGTTTTTTAGTGTATGTTAAACTTTCATTTCCGAGCGATATCTCAAAAAGATTTCGAGTTTTTACATATAGCCGCACTCGCACTTCTTAAAGTCTTACCTTTTGAATCCGTGCATGTTCTTTTTTTCCCACTGAGAGTGAGGGATAATAATTTTTATTATACTTCTGTTAAAATGTTTCCTATATAAAGTTCAGAAGGTAAAATAGCTATCTTTTATAGTTCACGCATAGCAAAGCTATACCCCGGGGTATAGTTTTTGCTATCCACCCTCGGAAAATTTTCATGAAATTTTTGCCTCCAATTTTGATTTTTAGCGATAAATCTATTGACTGATGATGTCATAATGACTTCATTAGCATTGTGACGTCATCAGGATTTCAGATTATTCTTGCAGTATTATCTTACTTTCAAAAAATTCAAACCTCAGAAATTATTTTATACATCAGTATAATAAAACACTTATCCACTGTTTGTGAGTGGGATAGCTCTTTTATCAAACCCTTGACAGGAACTATTCCCCTCGGGCAAGCCCTCGGGGAATAGTTCCCTGTCGCGGATTTGATAAAAGAGCTATCCCACTCACAACCAGTGGATAAGTGTATACTGTGCATCAGTCTGTCTGTCTGTAGTTTCGTGTCCTTAAGCGGGGAACACAGATTCTCTGAATTAGCTTGTTTCAACAATGGTTGCAGTGTGATAATTAATATCCATAAATTTTTTTCAGTTCTACAAACTGAATTTCAAACTTAATTGTTCTGGCATGATGTCATGACTATTGGTCCCCTCTGAAAGTGGGGGATATTAATTTCTATCTACCTGTCCGTCTGTCTGTCTAGCTGTATTTCTGTCAGTCAACACTTTCGTTTCTACTTGATATCTCGAAAAGTCTTCGGCCTTTTGCTGTTAAATTTTATAAAGTCTTAATTTTAACAATACTTTATTATGTATAAACATAACAGGATTGGACAGCAGGCACTGCCTATATAATCCTATTCATAAATTGAAATTTATTTTTCATATTATATATAAAATAAGAATATTATATTTTAACTAGATGTTACATAGCAACCCCCTATGCCCTAAGGAGGACCTCTGTTGATTTTTCAGGCGAAAGGATCAAAGGTCCAGGTCATAAATCAAAATTTCTGTCTGTTATAACATTATCGCTTCCGCGGGATATATCGAGAAGCCTTTGATATTTTGCAATGACATTTTATACCACAATTTTAAGATGGCTGTTGGTAAATCTGGACTGAAAAAAATCTTAGCCGACGTAACGTCAGGAATTACTACTAATACGCTTAATCCTTTTTCAGCTTACATTTGTAGTACAGTCTTCGATAATAAAAATGTAGTGTTTTATATGAAATTTAAGGGAATTATTTCACCAATAATGTTGTAATGAAAAGAAGTACATGTATTATTACAAGGTATGTACACATTGACAGACTACTATATTCCGGAATAACGTCAATTTCCGTCTTGTCCCGTTGTAACAGAAAAATACCTTCAACAGAGTTTATTCTAGAAACAAGTTGAAAAATCTTCTCGGATCTCTTTGATATTTCACAGGATCGGGATCGTTCTATTACATCATATTAAGACATAATATGTTTGTTGACAACCTCTGTTAAGAGAATAGATACCCACATCCTTTGAAATAAAAGACCTTTAAGATGTCACATTCAATGAAAAATTAGTGTAACGCATTTTCCATGGGCAAAAAAGAAAATTTTGTAGGTAAAATTTACAAATTTGAATTGACATACAATGAGTACTTTTAAACAACAATTAACCTTTTCCAAAAAGATAATGAAAATTTTCCAGGCGCTAAGGTATTTAATCAAACATCATCCGTGTTTTGCAAACACGTCCCCTTTGTAAATGACGTCATGTCAAATATATATTAGTAAATACCTTATTGATTTATTCCGAATTCAAGAGGCAATATTTATTAAAATTTATGTCATTGGAAAGTACTGAGAAATTATTTTTGATACATATAAGTTTCATTAGATCTTATCAGGTAATAAGGAAATTACTAAAGAATCGAAATTTCTTGCGGAAATGTCCCCTAGCTGCTTAAAATGACGTCTGACGTTCTTAGAATGCACGATTTGGGACATACGTCAATGTACATTTCCTATTAATTTGTTAACGTATTGCTGTACCCTTCATACTTAACATGTTAATCTTTGATTATCACCTCTCTGTATCCTCAGATTGCCTTTTCTGTTGATTTTTTTTAAAAATGATCACCATGAAACGAATATCGCATACAAATGTAGTTATAATTTTAAATTCATGCAACTGCAGAATATTCTTTTCAAATGCATTGAAGAGAGAAAATGATGATAAAAAATTTAAAATACAGTGTAATTTGTCTTGATGATCTGCTTTATTGAAAAAAGTATATTTACCCAAGGTTCTGTCAACAAATTACTATTAAGGGACTCCGACCCTCAGCTAGGAAGGACAACTCTTTAATTTATAATTCAATTCAAAAAGTCTTTAAATGAAGCTTGAAAATTAAATCTTTTCATTCAACAATTTTCATTATATACCTCTCAATGTGCTTCAAGGTTCTTTGAACTTCTCAGAAAGGTCTAAATAAAAGTAGAAATTTTTATCCTGAAAAAGAATTTTTAGATACCAATGTTTATTAACATGATATGAAATTAGAAGTAATTTATGGAGCTTTGCAAAGAACCTTGAAGCACATTGAGAGGCATATAATGAAAATTGTTGCATGAAAATATTTAATTTTCAAGCTTCATTTAAAGACTTTTTGACTTAAAGTTTATTTTATCAGTAATAAATATATAGAAAGCTATTTATAAGGGTATAACAAAACAAATTGTTATACCCTTATAAATATCTTTCTATATACTAGTATTTATTACTAATAAAAGGTCCAACAAAAGAAGTGTTTATAACATCGGTCTAACAATTTCACTATTGACCGGCCTGCCGGCCCAACATAAGAATTGTTAGACCGCAACGTCACTGCTATGTCACAAGTAATTATCATCGTTCAATATCGGCGTCACGGAAATAGCCGAAGTTAAGAGTTGCAAGAGTTGTTGCTACTAGCAAGGAAAAGGGGAAGAGTATGTTTTGTGCTAAATGAATTTTGTGATATAATAAAGATATAACTAATTTTGTTCTTTCTAGGCTATTGTTTTATATTTACCAATTAAGCCATAATTTCCCATATAAAGTAATTGATAATATCGTGTGTATTTATCAAATCTTAAGTGAGCACTGAAGGGTATAACAAAACAGTTATAGACTGGGATTCGGGCAACATATGATTTGTTGGACCTGAAGGCGAAAATGTTGCCCGAGGCCTGCCTCGGGCAGCATTTTCGTCTTCAGGTCCAACAAATCATATGTTGCCCTCATATCAATAACTGTATAATGTAACATAGGCAAATTGAAAGGGGGAGTTCTTAATGCTTACTTTGTTTGAAAATACATGTAATAAAATGGCAAACAATTTTTCTCAATCACTGATTAGATTTACATTATTTACTAAGTATCCCTGCCTTGGGTATAAATCAAGAAAAAGAATCAAAATACAATAGGCTAATTATAGCATAGGTAAACCTAAACTTTCTAAATATACGATACACAACCACCAAGGACAGGTCAGCTCTATTCGGGCCCCTAACCCTGGTACTTATGATCTTCCTGACAAATTGTCAGACCTCTGGCTTGCCAAACTATCTCAAACAATTGAAGAGCTTCGGCTCACTGATGAATTGTATGAGTCAAGAATATTACATAAAACACTTCGTAGAAATTATTACCTATTCCGCTCCGCTGTAACAGGCATGACCAGCCTTTCAATGTCTCTTACTTTTATACTTGTGAGACAGTCTATTAGAAAGGGGTGTCAGGTTATTCCATTATGATTCTAATTAAGGTCACTAAAACGTTTGGCGAAATAGATAAAAAACATCACATAATGTTTAATGAAAAGAGTTTTCATTATTTCACATGAATAACTTGTAACAAGACCTTTCCAAATGCACTATGGTTTTTGACCTCGTGGAGTTTGACAAGCCTTGAAGTTTTACCTACTTTTCAAAAATTTTAACATTAATTTAACTGGCAATAACTTTTGAAAGAGAAAAGATAGGGATTTCATATTATACATGTTTATTACCTGTGACGAAACCGTTTTAAATATATAGTTATAAATATTGACCCCGTCACCTTGACCTGAAAGTTTGACACAATATGCCATAAATAATGACAATCATCTATTAAGACAATAAAAGCGGGGGTTCACAATTCTTTGAATTTGCTTGTTAATTTTATATACAGCTCTACTTCAACATATTGAATTATCAATATTCTTATGGAAAAGTGTCAAAAAGAGGTTTTAGGGATCTTTAAACCTAGGGGGGTCACCAATATAATTTAACATTTTCCCAAAATAACGGCTTAGTACAGCTAAACTAATCAACAGAGATTATTCATTATTTAACTCCTGAAGAGGTTTCAAAAATTTCAAAAGTAGGGGGTCACCAACGTTTAATACTTTTCCAAAATAACGGCTTAGTAAAACTTCACTTATCAATATTGATCTATATAATTTATTCGTTGAATTTAACATATTTTCTCAATGGAGATAAATACCATTTTTTAAAGAATTTAAACAAGGCAACGCTACAATAAAACTGTAACATAATTAGTATGGATATAGAGGTAGTAAAAAGAGTTTCCTGGTTTACATCAGGTAATATCTATTAAAAAAAAGTTTATCAGTTAATAAAAGAGTTCCCAGAATAATATTCACATGCACACATTCATTCCAGTAAGAAGGTATAATGAGCTGAAAAAGTTTACATTTACATGTATATTAATAAAATTTTTAAAAAAAATTAAATCGATTTCTTTAAATTAATGATGATTTACAATTCTGAAAAAAACAATTTTAGGTGCAATTATCTGTATGCCATTTTTTTTTCAAATTCAGTTGTATACGGATGTTTCCTTTTGCCCGATCATGAGGAGGAACACACGGCGGATGTGACTGGTGTAGAACAGGAGATGCCTACTCCTCCTTGGCACCTGATCCCACCTCTGATGTTTTTCTCCTCTCCAAATGTGTTTTGTTTTAATGGACTTTTGAGTTTGACTTCTGTTCTTGATCATCACATTTCATGTATAATAATTTGATAGCTCATTACAAGTGCACCGGCCCAGAGAATTCTTCCCCGCGAATCGACGATTGTACTCGAGGTGTCTGAAAAGGAAGTAGTCTTCTTCTGATGTATAAATAAACACCGAAATTCAAAATTCCTCCAACGTTTGAGAAAGTTGTTACCAAGTGATAAATCGGGGCTGGAACAGCTTCTGGTTCTATAAAGGACCAGAGTCCGTAAACAGCCATAGCCCACCACTGGATGAGGAATACAAGCACGAATACGGACATGGCGCGCGCGGCGGCGTGCCTCATTCTGGTTGTTAACGCCTGCTTGCCCAGCGTCTTTTTCAGCTCCTTCTCTTTGAGGTATATGTTTCTGAGCGTCATGCTGTAGAGAATGGAGTTGAGGACCAGTATTATCGTCAGTGGAACAGTCGTAAACAGGAAGTTAGCTACCGTTCCCTTTACTCCGTCAAAATAGCAGCTGAAAAAATCAGGATTGTAAGACATCAGGCGATAAAGTTCATAATTATTTGTCAAAAAATCCCATTTCATATGTTAAAGAAAAATATCAACGATAATCCTAAGAAAACATTGATTAAATACATTGATGATGATCTCGTTCTGCTCCTTTAGAGTACATAAAATTGAGAGAAAAATATACTTGCAATGATCCATTGGGTCCAAGCTGCCCTGCAATTCCTGCAACTGTGGCACAAATAAAAGGAGTTCCAAATGTCCATAGTAACAAGCGATAATCTTTAATACCAAAGTCAATCTGTTTGTTAAGTAATATCAGCACAAATGCATTAACTGCAATGATATTAACCATCAGGTTTTGAGCAGTTATAAACTCAGCCAGCATAAAACCATAGAACTCGCACAACTCCTTGGGATATACGTGGTTTTTCGTTATTAGAATATGAAGGTGATCCATGCTATGAGCCAGATTGAAAGCAGCGTCACAGATTGCCAGGTATACCACAAATCTCTCGCTTTTGGACCACGAGAAGAAAGTTTTGTACGACTTTTGGCGGAAGCTGAGCACCATGGTTAGTACCGCGGAAGCAAAACTAAGGAAAATACATGATAGTGCGGGAATATGGAGCGTGTAGAAATGTCCTTCGGTAAGTCCATATACCGGCAAACTATAACCATCACTCGGCGCCTCGGACCACGTGTTATTCTCCATAACAATAAATATTCTTTTTTTTTTTTTTAAATCAAATGAGTTTAATATAAACTATGAAAGGATGATTTTCGTGTCCATTGATAACTTATTTGTAACTGGTCGTCATATTAGTTTATGGAACAGCTATATGGCCAATATTGATAACATTGATAACTTTTTTATCTATGGGAATGCGGATGTAAATAGTAAGGTTACCAGGTAAAACTTGACCTCTTCGCAGGTGTTGAAAGTTTACTTTTAGCATTTATAGAAATTTGTTTCAACATTTAATTCCCTATCACAGATGATAAACTTATTTTAAAGCGTATTTATAAACCTCCGTTGCAAAGGTGAACTTTCCAGTTGTAACGTATACTCTTTATTAAACAGCCATTGTGCATCTCCTATTTTTACTTTTTGATCCGACACATATTTTGGGTTTCCCATAGCAAACCATGGACACTGCCATTCTTTCTATAATAATGAAGGGTACCCATCTCTTATCCCCAACTCCCTCTAAGCCACTGAATAAAATTTAATGATACTTTCACAGAATCTTTGTTACATAGTGCCATTGTGACCTCCTTTTTTATTTTTTGATCTGACACTTATCTCTGGTTTCCCAGAGTAAAACATGGACACCAGTGCCATTATTTATAATCATTTGGCAGGCGGGGGTTTCATTTAGTGAGCTCAGTACTCACAATACTATATAGAGAGCTCTGTACTCACAATACTATATAGAGAGCTCAGTACTCGCAATACTATATAGAGAGCTCAGTGCTCACAGTACCTCTCGTCATTTTGTGACGGCAGAAAATTTCTACACTTACTAATTGTTTTATTTCGTAGACAACCAGGTTAATTAACAAATTTAACTCTAACTTAAAAAAATAAATTTCAGTAGTGTAGCATCGTTTTTAAAAGGGAGGGGGCAGTCAGATAAAGAATCGTCAAATACGGGGGCATAAAAAACAAATTTCATCTAGTGAAAATAGAGACAGGCTCGTAAAGAGCTTATTGGGGGTCTAAATTGCCTGCTATACTTATGTAAAATACATGAACATAATCTCAAGAAAATGGATGCCGTAGGGTAAATATATTGAGTCCACTGAAACATGGGCCGTGATATCTTTATTTTTTATTTTGATCGGGATCGGGTTCCGTAACTCCCAATGCATTGACAACGAAGACGTTTATTTACTTAGCACGTAACAGTATTGACCGGCCTCCAGGTATTGCATGGACAGTTCTGCACCGACAGTGAAATTGCATGTTTGCATGAGCTGCTTTTTTTCCTTTCTGTGATGTTATCATATTATATTGGCTCACTTGGAATCTGAGAAATCAAAATGGTAAACAGCGATTTAAGTGGCACTTAATTTGATAATTTTAAATAACTTAATCTGTTAATCATTCTTTTTAATATATTCGATCAATGCATACTATCTCTGCAAGATATATTATTGTTTTCAGCGGCAGCTCACACAAATTGGTCCGACCAAAATAGTTCCATCATGATTAAGTAGATACAACATTATTGTTCATGATAAGAGTGAAGTTGTGTATTTCATACGTTAAAGAAATCAAAAATAACGTCAAAATATTATTAGAAAATCACTTTTTCCCCGAAATGCAAATAAAAAATATCAATATTCCTATGCTCGCTCCCTCCTCAGCCTTTTTTTTTTTTACGTTTGATAATAAAGAATATTTAGGTCATTCTTCGATTCATATTTTTTCACCGATGAATTGCTAATACTATATCAACAATTGTATTAAGTACATGTTTATAGTCTGTTAATTATCATACAATTTCCTTTTAAGAAAAAATAAATCGTTCTGTGTGTGTATATTATTAAATGACGGAATTTTCGATCCCTGGCTGGATTCTGCTCACGTGTGTACACTTTGTAAACTGTAGGGGATAAAATGTGTGGCAAAATGAGAACTGGGTCGGACATTCGGGTTTGTGTTGGAGTTCAGCATAGGCTTACCATTTTATATAGAACTTGAATAATGTAAGTAATATCTGCGACGAATACATTAGCATATTTCAGTAATTTTCAAAACAAAAAAGGTTTTCAGTTTAGAATTTTCCGATCCGGTCTTGATTTTCCTAACACGGCCATTTTAAACACAAGTTGTTGCAGATGCAAATGTTAGAACAAACTATATATAGTTCAACAGGGATTGTATAATTTTTATTAATCAGAATTCGTATTCATATGATCTAATTAAGAAAAGAAAAGTTTTGTCTGCCATCGTAACTTCTCGGCAAAACAAAACGTGTTCCTCCGAGCTCGCTGGATGCGTTTAACAGCTCCATCGCACGTGTGTAGATCAAGGCTAATGTTGGTCTTGCGGACACAGGTTCATGTAGGCCTATGTGTACCGTTTGTTAGGAGACTGGGTGACCTCACCATGCTCACGAAATTTACACCAGTTCCATAACTAGGCCCTAGACATTGCAGTTTTTTTTTATTAACGTCATTATAAACACTGATAAGCATATTAAATCTAAAAGTCGAATATCTTTGGATATGGGGTAACCCATATCTATTCTTGTAATAGCTATTTTTAGATATGATGGGTTTTATTTTTTTGTTAAACTTAAATCGTGAAATTTTTCATATGCATGTTATTTTCAGAGCAAACCTTGTTGAACTTTTGTTGTTATTCTTGCGTAGCTGCAGAACTGTAGCTCTCTGCTTGAGAAAATTCGGACAGATAAAGCAGAGAGCTACAGATCCAAGCGTTGTAAAAATAATCAGAGAGCTACAGTTCTGCAGCTAATTCTTTCAAGGACATAGGTCAACAAGTGATGCATGTGCATAGTTTGTCCAGAAGTCACTGTGAAAAAAAAATCATTTGTATCAATGTGAAAGTCCAAATTTTCTATTTGCCCAGGTGTTGTTGTAAAAGCTTGCAGTGCGAGAAGCGCTTACTACAAACTGTAGCCTAAATGTCCCTATAAGTAATTCCCATAGAGCTGAAACTCATTGTGCACCATTTTTTTTTTTCATCTGATGGAACTGTTAGTTCAGTACTGATTTAATTGTTACTTATATGAATGTTAACACTCAATTCGTAAACTAATGAAATTTGGTACCAAAATATGTATTTTGTTTTAATGAATACCTAATATTGACAGGACCTTGAAGAAAAGGGTTTTAAACAAATTATTGGAGCATCAGACAAGCCAGAGGATGAAGATGAGAAAGTATACCCCCAACATGTCCAAGATCTCATAGAGTAAGTAGTGAGTTTTATATCAAGACATGTCCAAGATCTCATAGAGTTAGTAGTGAGTTTATATTCAGACATGTCCAAGATCTCATAGAATAAGAAGTGAGTTTATATCAGGACGTGTCCAAGATCTCATAGAGTAAGTAGTGAGTTTTATATCAGGACATGTCCAAGATCTCATAGAATAAGAAGTGAGTTTTATATCAGGATGTGTCCAAGATCTCATAGAGTAAGTAGTGAGTTTTATATCCAGACATGTCCAAGATCTCATAGAGTAAGTAGTGAGTTTTATATCCAGACATGTCCAAGATGTCATAGAGTAAGTAGTGAGTTTTATATCAAGACATGTCCAAGATGTCATAGAGTAAGTAGTGAGTTTTATATCAAGATGTGTCCAAGATGTCATAGAGTAAGTAGTGAGTTTTATTATGTCACCTGAGTAAACTCAGGTGACCTATTGCTATCCGTTTTCGTCCATCGTCGTGAGTTAACATTTGAACATTTTCAGCTTCTTCTCTGCAACCACTCAATCAATTTCAACCAAATTTGGCACAAAGTATCTATGGGTGAAGGGGAACAAAAATTGTGAATTTCATGACCCCTGCCCACCCTGGGGCCTGAGGGTTGGGGCTAAAATCACTAAAATTAATGCAATTTTTAAAAATCTTCTTCTTTACTCCTGGACATCAAGCAGTCAAACTGTTTGCATGATTGTAATCAGCATTGAGTCCTCTACCAAAATTGTGAAATTCATGGCCCTGGGGTCAGGGGTTCTAGTGCTAGGGCGGGGCTAAGTTAGTATATAGTGAAAATGCATAATTTCTTTGAAAATCTTCTTCTCTGCTCCTGGGTATTGGATAAACTAACTAAGTGCATAGTTATGATGAGCAAGAGTGCCTCTACCAAATTTGTGAATTTTATGGCCCCAGGGTCAGGGGTTCTGGTGTTAGGGCGGGGCTCTTTTGATTATATGGTGAAAATACATGAATTCTTTGAAAATTTTCTTCTCCGCTTCTGGGTATTAAATAAACTACCTTAGTGCATAGTTATGATTAGCAAGAGTGTCTCTATCACGTTATGAATTTTATGGCCCCAGGGTCAGGGGTTCTGGTGGTAGGGCGGGGCTCTATTCATTATATAGTGAAAATACTTAAATTCTTTGAAAATCTTCTCTGCTCCTAGGTATTAAATAAACTAACTAAGTGCATAATTATGATGAGCAAGAGTGCCTCTACCACAATTGTGAATTTGATGGCCCCAGGGACAGGGGTTCTGGTGTTAGGGTGGGGCTCTATTGATCATATAGTGAAAATACATGTCAGAATTCTTTGAAAATTTTCTTCTCTGCTACTAGGTATTAAATAAACTAACTAAGGACATAGTTATGATGAGCAAGAATGCCTCTTTTAAAATTGTGAATTTTATGGCCCCAGGGTCAGGGGTACTGGTGTTAGGGGTTTGGCTATATTGGTTATATAGTGAAAAGACATGAATTCTATGAAAATTTTCTTCTCTGCTCCTGGGTATTAAGCAGATGAACTACCTATATGGTTATGATGAGCAAGGGCCCTAATCTTCCAGAATTGTGAATTTCAAGGCCCCAGGGTCAGGGGCACCATAGAGGGGGGCTGTACTTATATACTGAAAATGAATTATTTGTTTGAAATCAGCTCCTTGGTATTAATCAAATACTTTTGAAAAGCAAGGATGATGTAAATCTAGGCCTAGGGGTCAGGGGTTCATGTGTGGTAGGGGCACTACTGATTATTGCTGAGTATTACTGATTAGTTGAAATGCATTTTTTGTTCCCCTACCTTGCCTATGGATATTAATTAACCAAACTGCTAAGTGTATAGT